AGCTAGGCTGGCCTTTCTAGACTGCAGTTGAGGTGGGTGTGCACAAGCAAAGAGGCGTCAGGCTTGCTTCTGGGAGAGGCTTTGACACTGGAGGGATCTACCCCTAGACAAAGCAAACAAAGACTGCTGAAACAGGGAGAGTTACTTTTCCCCAGAGCTGAGACTGGGAATGAAAATGCATTGGCATTGCTTGTCACGAAGGGAAACAATAAACAACAGAAGGAAGTTTCCACCAAAACTGAGAATAGAAAATAAAAGGTTGGCTTTGGGCAGAACTTTATGTTTCATTTTGCTGAGAGGACTTACAGGACTAATGGAAATTTTCTGGGCATCTTTCTCATAGACAAATGCAACTCTGAGTGGGAGACAGAGAATAGAAACAGATCCAGAAGCCACTGTAGAACATGGGAGGTCCCCATGCCCTTGGTGACCCTGAAATCCAGACAAAACATGTTTTTCAATTTTGTATGCAAAGCTATCCCATACTGTTCTAGTTTGCTTTGTGCTGCTGTGGAAAGGATTTCTTTGGCCTATACTTCCAGGGCACAGTGCACCACTGAGGAAGTAAGGTCAGGAACCAAGCAGGACCCTGAAGCAGAAACAATAGGAGACTTGCTGACTTAACTTACGAGCCTCATGTTTAGCTAACTTTAGTACACAGCTCAGGATCATCTGCCCAGTAGAGCAGGCCCTTCTACATCAATTAACATTTAAGACACCCCCCTCAGGCATGCTCAAAGGAGAATCTGATCTGTTCCTTTATTGAGGGCAGTCCCTCAGATGAGAATCCCTCTTCAGTGACTCTAGGCTGTTTTAAATTGATAGCTAAAGCTAACTCATGAGTTTCACAGTATCAATGCAAGGCATGTGGTGATCCTGCAATCTCTGATGACAGGAGTATTGTCAATAGCTAAACACCAATTGGGTATATCAACCCTCAATTCTTGTTTCGTAAATTTTAATTAAAACTCAAGCAACTTTGATGAATTTAAATTGATTTTTTTAAACAAATGGTCTCTAGTTTGTCATGAAATATGTTCAACAAGGCAAGATAAGCCATCTAAAATCTAATGCCTCCTAGATTATGCGGTAGGTACTGGGTGTGGTATTTAATTCTCCCAACAATAAAAGCCGTATTTATGAAGGTTATGTTAGTAAGCATCTTCTTTCTCGTCTTCCATATCATCACTTGATACTAAACTCCACAGTTGCCTGTCTCTAGCATCCTCACCTCCACAGGGGTATGGTCATGATTAGCCACAGGAGCTGATAATGGTAGACACCCTGAAACACCTTAGAAGCTCATGGAAGTGTTTGCTGGAGACTGCCTTGCTAGATCACCAGGCAGGTACCATCTCCACGTCATTATTTGTAAGATTAATTTTTAATTATGCTTATGTGTGGGTATATGCATTTGAGTGCAGGGGCTCACAGAGAGGAGGGGGCATTGAATCCCCCAGTAGCTGCAGCTATAGGGTGACTGTGAACTTTCCAGGACAGGTACTGGAAACCAAACTCAGGCCCAAGGCCTGAGCAGTGTGCAACCATCTCTTCAGCCCTCACATTATCCTTAAGCAAATTCCCCAGCTCCCATAACCCTAGTGTCTCCATCAAAAGTTTTCAGAAGTTGGTTCTTGAGTCAGAAGTAGTAGATAGAGTCAGCAGAATTGTTTAGAGATACTAATTTTTAGGCACTCCTATATCTACATTGAGTCTGTGGGTAGGACTATTAATCAATGCTCCTTCTTAAGAGTTTCTGATGAACACTGAAACTTGAAAGCTATTAAGTCTAGATTAGTATTTCTTATAATGTAGGCTAATAAATTAAATTACAGCCAGCACTTAAAAACAATAAGAAGGTATAGAAAAAGAACAAAATTCATCACAAAGTAGTATTTGTACAACTTTTGTCTCAAATATACATGCATATTTCTACACATGATATACACTGGTTGCCATGGTTTATATATTACATGTCTCTCAAAATTCTATTTGAGATGGAAGGAGAGGTGGCTCAGTGGTTAAGAGCACTTGCTGCTTTTTCAGATCCCAGCACCCATATGCTGGCTCATTAACAGCTATAACTCCATTTCTAGGAGACCCTCTTCTGAGTTCTGTGGATACCAGGCATAAAATTAAACATAAAATCGAATAAATCAATCTAAAAAACAAAGGTCCCATTTGTTAAAGGCATGGCAGCCACTCTATGGACCTTTGGAGGCTCTCTATACTGGGACCCAAGCTGTCCTCTTTCTCTTACTCCACACCCTTCAAGTGTCTCATCCTGGCCTCCTCTTTCTTCTGTCCTCTAAGATTTGAAGAGCTCTTGAGTCAAATGTTCTTAAATGACGTGCTGCACAGACACGTGCTTGGATCACCAGGCTGATGTGAGCTAATCAGAAACTTTTAAAGCTGAATGAAAAGAAACCTCTTCCTCCTCAAAGTGGGCTTTCCCAGGCATTTTCTCACAGGGACAGCTGACTAAGAGTTAAAAAGTTATTGCATGGAAAGTTTTCAGTTATTTTTAACTATCTGAAGACTCTGTGTCTTGAGGATCCTATCCTAGTCTCTGAACCATTCTACTAACATGTTTTCATACAATGCACTGACTTTTCTCATACTACCTTTGCATTTTACCTTATATTTAATTTTTACTTCCATTATATTTTACTCAGTGCCAATAATTATTTGTCACTTATAATTTGTCATCTTTCTCCTTAGAACATTAACTAATGACAGAACATTCCCAGCCACTTTCCCAACATATCTCAATAGTATCCACCCACCCATAACATCCATCCAACAACCCTTACCTACATGAACTCTACAGAACTAACAAAGTCATTAGTGGGCTTTGCAGTCATGTGTATTTCATGTATGTGATCTTTCTTATAAATCAGCACAGCCTTGTGGGGCAACAGTTGAATTTGATTGGTTGTGAGCCTAGCCTTTAACGTCTGAGCCATCTCTCCAGCCCAACAGTTGAATTTGAGACACGTACTTCTAGTACTAACCTTGGGAAAGTTATGGAATATATTTCATAAAATGCAACCAAATGAGTCCTGGGACAGTAAAACTGAGATAAACAGTAACTTGACTTTTAGTTTAGGTCAAATGAGTAGAATATTAAATTAGTTAAGAATCACAGAATAAAGAAAACCCCTGAAATCTGTTCAAAAGGGAGTTCAGGAGGCCAGAGGCTTAGGCTATAGGTGAGATGGGTGAGCTATTCAGCATTTCTGGTGGTTATCAGTGAAATTAATGGTCTGTAAGATGAGAAGGGTGTAAACACTGAGAAAGAATAACATCACAGACAAAGACATGGAGAGAAAAGTCTTACACACATGGAAATGGATTTGCTGGGGGAACTATGACACAAAAGTTTCTATAGTTAAGAGAAATTGTAAGTCTTTCAATATTTAGTGTAAAGCGTGTTCCTTCCTGTCCTCACTGACATGTGCATGTGGGTATATGCACACACGTTTTGGGGAGGGATGCTGCCATTCCACAAATCTTATGGCATGAAAGTGTTGTGAGCGAGAAGTCCACACCACTTAGCTCCTTTTCTGGACTGTAAGGCATTTTAAGCAGCAGGGAGGCTCTACAGCGTGCCTGGGTGGGAACACCATTCCTACTATTTATTAGCTGTATGACTTTGGACACATTCCTTAATGTCCCTGAACTCCAGTTTCTCTGCTCATATGATGAAAGTTGTTACAAGGTAGCACACTGCCGCCATAAGTAAGGCCTCAGAAAGATGCCCGGCACATAGTAACCAGAGTACTTACAAGGAACTGGACTGTTCTGTAAGCACTCATCTGCCTGTTACAACAAGCCTATGAAACAGAGTACTGTTGGGCACCATTCCTATTGATAGGCAAACATGAGCTGCAGATGAGTCAGAATTGGCATTCTAAGCAGCTGCCTTACTATCGGCATTAGAACAAGAGTGTGAGCTGCCCATCAGTGCCGAAACCAGTGGTTCTCTAGGAGATGGGGCTGATCTTTCACTACATACTGCGTCCCCCAACTTCATATACTCTGTTATGCTGATGACTCCATCAAGGGGAAAGGAGTGTTCACTGATTTCATAGCTGACATTGTTTCTACACAGTGGATCCCACTCAGCAAAGCTTTGCTAACTAGTGAAAATGTAGCAAGACAAAGAGCTCTGCAGAGTGTACATCAAATTTTCATAAAGGCAACTTGACTATCAGCTACATTTTTATATTTCATTCTACTTTTCCTGCTTATAAAAATAATAAAGTGAGATTAATAGCAATGACTACCAACAGGATGAGCAAAGCCTTTTGGAGACATTCAATTTCTATATTAAAAATACTTGTAGGGAACATTTTTAGAGAAAGATGTAACACAAAATTCACCCTTGGAAATGCCGGTAGATAGATTTTTGTCCATCTACAGATTGCACAGATTGTCACAATTTACTTTTCAAACCACTTATATCCCATAAAGGAAACTGCATATACAGCAGCCAGGCTTCACTGTACATAGTATGCATGCAAAAAGAAAAGTGATTTCTTTAAATAGAGTCTCTGGCAAACATCTGCCAAATGTACAGTTCATTCAACTATTGCAAATTAAAACCATGAAACAAATACCCAGGACATCCATATGACATGGTGAGTCTCTGCCTTCATATGAGCATGTAAGCATTCTTTTAAAGGACAGTACCTATGCCCGACTTAGATTGTTAGGGCTAGAACCCCAATTCTCAGGGCTTAGCATTTTTGTTTCATAACTGACTAGTAAAATTAAAGCATTGTGCAACATAGCTTTCTTAAGTGTCCTTTGTTAATTTCAAACAGAAAAGCTTAGGAAATAAAAGCCACAGGAGTTTTGAAGATAAAAGCTTTATTTTTAACACATGCTCTGCACATTTCTGCAGACCTACAGTCCTATAGTTGTGATTCACAATAGTTATGGCAACATAATTTAATAAGTTCTGCATCTACCCTAAATAATGCAAAGGAACTCACTGTCGATCAGGGCACTTTCTTCCTCGATCTCCTCACTGTCCACAGACGGAGCTCTGTAAGGGGGAGGCAGTTTCATTGGAGGTGGAGCTGTTCCGTGCCTCTGAAGGTGCAAAATTAAAGAAAAGTGTTAATGACTTTCATACAATCCTCTTCTTCAGAGCCAAAAAACACATATATAAAAAGATAATCTGAAAATAGTCTGGTTGCGGCTGACTTCCACCACAATACAAAGACTGTAAAATGTAATTATTTTCTCCAGTTCCCGTTATTTTATGAAAGTAATTTTATGTAAATACAGCAATGCCACAAACAGGAATTTAAAAGCACAGCTTTGAGGAGCACTGCCCTGCCTAGAAGAACACACCTCTAGACCCTCCTGCGAGAAAGCAAGCCAAGTACATTCTCTTTATGCCATCAAACTAATAATCTGTGTCACTAACAAAATAACTCACCGATTTTCAAAATGAATGTAAGGGTAGCAATAACACCACATACCAACTTTACAATTATTCAGGTTTTTTATTATAAGAATTACATGTTTGTTTGTTTTTTTTTTAAGTAACTGAAATATCAGATTTATAAATGGCAAAGTGCTCTTCTAGAGTTTGGAGATGGTCACAGACATTTAATGTTAAAAGGTAAGTGGTTATAATGAATAATTATTCTAAATAAAGATGCTCTGAATTTACATAGCAAATAACATAGTACAACAATATATGACTCCTGTAGATAATTAAAGTGAAACAAAATTCCTTGTTAAATTACCTTCACAGAACGAAGACATGTTCTTGAACGTGAGAAAAAATGAAACATGCCACACTTTCCAGAGATGCCAGCTGCTGCTGAGATGCCCAAGCCCCTCACAACACCCAAACGACTAGATTAGTATTTGCCTTCCTACATGACTTCGATAAAGTGCATTCAATTATGCTTTGTCAGACAAAACCACTAATGCAAGAAGGCACACCTCTGCTGAGTGGACACTGCCCATTATAACAAGGCAAAGAGTAAATTCCCCCAGAAGAGAAGGCACTATCTAGGATTCATAAAAGAAAGCATTCCCACATTTCTTGAGCACAATGTCTAACAAAAATCAGTGATTATATGTGTATAAAATACAAAATATTAAAATGTGAGAGTGATGAAGAAAAAGACTTGAAACATTTATTAAGAAACAAATGAGAATGTGATAGCTATAGTCTTCAAGTTTAAAACAAGGTGACATAATGGAAAGAGAAATCAAGTGATTCCATCCCCACCCCATCCCACACCCCCTCATCTTCCCCCAAAAAACCTCTTCTTAGAACCAGGTCATTCAACAACAAAGATGATCCTTCAGACAAGGGCAGGGGCTGAAAGTACTATTGAGAGCTAAGAATTTCAGCTTATTTGATTACATTCTGTCAACACTCTTGAGAGAAGAACACAGATGAGTGCATCCTAATCCAGGCTGGCCTGGAACCCACCATGCCCAGTCCCCTGGGGCACTCTCCTGCTGCCCATTAAAGAAGAGTGTGCACAGGCCAAACCCTCTAGTGATGGAAAAGGCTGAAGCTCCCAGTGATGAAGTAGGCCAGAAGATGACAACACCATCAAGACAGAGAACAAGACATATTGAATAGCATCTTCAAGTTTAGTCCCAGGCACATGATGACTCCCCTAAGTATTTGCTGCGTGTCTAAATAACTGCCTTTATTCATGCTGTTGCCTGAAAGACAAACTTTCAGAAAATGACAGTGACTCAAGCAATTCTTGTTGGTATGTTTTGGAGATACAGTCCAATGTGATATAGCCCAGGCTGGCCTCTAATTCTATATAGAACTCCATCTGCAAGTTCTATGCTTTCAAGCATGTGCCGCCCTACTACTACAAACGACTCTCACTTGACAGCACCGTGTGTTGATATTTTGTGGCACAGAGGCAAATGGTGTTTATACTTATAAGGTGTTAAAAAAGTAATAAAGTTACAGCTTTCTTGTTCTGTAAGGCATGAACTAATTCTATGTCTAAAATTGAACTGTAACTACTCAGTTCTCCTCTTTATCCTGCACCAGGCTCACCATATCTCATTGCCCTCTGTAGTGAGTTAAATAAATACTTGACACCTGCACATTTTGCATAGTTTCATGAATACTGTATTTATTTTTATTTTTGACTCATTCTCTGACAGTTTTAGAAGTCCCACTGAGACACTCAAGCAGACCCACCTTCCAGAACTAATTAAACAGATATGCAATTCATCAGCTATTTAAAGACATTTACATGATTTTGGCTCACACAGTAAATTCTGAGAGAGACAGAACTCCACCATATTTTTCTGTTTCTCTGTGGTTTATTTACAATTCTGTGTATGTGCTTTTGTTACTAGGTTAAGTCTGATCTGTTATTCACTGGGGCTGTAACTTGGTGGCAGCAGTAATGAATGGAGTTTGGTTTCTGCTGTCGCCATTGGGTGGCATTTATTGGGGTGATAAGGCCCTTCCAAGCTGGCTCTGTGGGTATGTACTGTCCACTGGTTGAGGATCACAGATTTTCCTGTTTGATTTCATGCTAAAGAAACGGTTCTCTGACAAACAGACCAGGTGGTTTGCATTTCTGTGTCTTACACAACATAAGGCTATACTGCCAGGAGAGCAACAAGGAGCTGAATCTCTGCATTTGAGGGACATTCTTCATGCTCATTGTGAATGTGTTTTAATAAAGTGTAACAGTCCTGAAAGAAAAACAAAACAAGACAAAACAAAAACAAAACCCCACAAAATTCTCATTAGTATAGAAACTATTGTTATTTAAAATTAATTTCTAGTTTTCAGAAAATAGTGAAATGTTGTTGTTGTGATAATTTTTAAAAATTCCTTATTCAGAACCTTTAAAAGAATCTAATCGTCTGTGTGTATATGGTGGGGTTGGGGGGTCCATTCAGGAGCTGTGAGGCCAGAAGCTTGGGATCCTCCAGGAGCTATATACAGCTGTAAGCAGTGGGACATGGGAGCTGGGAACTGAGCTCAGAGCTCTTGCAGTGGCTCCCATCTTCTCAACCCTGGGGAAATGTTTTAATGTGAGAATCCAGATTCAAAGACACAAGTGCTGGACACACCTATAATCTCAGCATTGGGAGATGGAGGCAGGAGGATCTCTGAACTATAGTGAGTTCAAAGACAGACTAGACTACACAAGACCCTCTTAGAAAAAGATCCAGCAAACAAACAACACACACACACACACACACACACACACACACACACACACGAGTACACACTCACACACAAACACCAAATACAAATCAAGATTCACATGATCAAAGTGACTTGAGAATTCTCTCAACAAATTCCGAAACAGGAGGAGGGAGAGGAGATTCAACATGGAGGACAGAGAGAGCAGAACAACAGACCCTCTCTCTGGTAAGCCAAGACTATGTGGAAACTTAGATTAATAGAAATGGGTTAATATTTAAGACAGAGCCAGCCAATAAGAAATGCTAATATCAGGTCAACAGCTTTATATCTAATACAGAATCTCTGTGTGTTATTTGGGGCTGGCGTGGCTCTGGAACCAGACTGGTGGGAAAACATGCACTTAACAAAATGGTGCCCCAATGTGGCTACTAAGAACTTCCACTTAAAACTTGACAAAAGCTTAAGAAAGGGCTTTAGAAACAAAAGAACAGAGACAAGCAAGGCTTCTTGGTAGCAGCATTTTTCTCAGTTGTACTCTGCTTTACTAGAGACAAGCAGAGATTTGCACAGCTCCTTTAAGGGAGATTTCCTGACTCAGCATAAGTGGCAAAAAACCACACAGCTTTTAAGAAGCACTGCTAACAACTGAATGATGTGTATGAGCAGCTGGAGAGAGTAGATGGGCATTGGTGGCACACGCCTTTAATTCCAGCACTCAGGAGACAGAGGCAAGTGGATCTCTGTGATTTCAAAGTAAACCTGGTGTACAGAGTGAATTCCAGGGCAGCTAAAGCTACACAGATAAACCCTGTCTCAAAAACTGAAAAAATAAAAGTAGAAGAAATAAATAATAAGCCACCTGAAGATGGAAAGCACACAAAGAGTCTGGATACTGTATGCTATGGTGTTGTCTTTAAATTGCTCAACTGCTAAGAAAGGAACACCAATTGCTACAATACACTTGATTATCAATGCTGCTAAATTATTCCAATTTATATATTTTAAAAATGCTTTGACTCCAAAATTTAAGTCTAAGACAGGTTACTGGGGAAAAGAATTTCTTTTGTTTCCACAGAAAATGAAAAGCTGTGGATTCCTTCCAGACTAACATGGTTTGATCAAGCAAGACCCCCCTGAAGCATTGTCCATGGGAAAGGCAGCCTTGCGGACCACTATAGCCAGGATTTCTGTGTCTTCTTAGGATCCCCATCATAGCACCCCCAACCAGCAGGAAGTATTTTGGAAAGAACAACACCCAAATTTCCAAGTATTGTCTATAAATGTTTGTTTTCATTTAAATGGGGTTGGTTATAAATGGTTAATGATCACAACCAATTCTTTTAAAGGTAAAAAAGGGGATTATGGGATAGATAAGATTACTTTGTTTTGGAATGGATATCTATTTATTGATACAAATTTAAGGTCAATTTTGTGATATGTATATTTCTCCTCTTGTTTAGGTATTGTGTTTATATAGAACATTTAGAAATGTAATGTATAATTAAATACAGATATAGATAGTTACCTATGATAGTCAAAACTTAAGTTAGTTAGGATTTCTAGATATACAGAGATGTATTTGAGATGAATAAGCATTCTTCAAACCTTTCAAAGACCTTCAGAATATGGCATTTAAAATGGTTTAGGGTTTTTCTTGACAGTGAGACATAACTGCACCTGACAAAAACACCTGCCTCAGAAAAGAAGATGGATATTGAAGAAACTCGTTATGGAGTTCACTTCCAATATGGAAAAACTAGCCATTTGGGCAAGATACTGCTCTTGTCTGGACTGTTTGACTTTATGCTGTATAAACTGGACATGCAAGACCCTCAGAAAAGTGACTGCTGAAACAAGATGGACATTGCTACAGGGTTCCTGCTTCATGGAAGAGTCTGCCAGACAGACTACAGGACACAGAGAAAAGTGACTGACAAACTGCCAATACAGGTGAACAGTTTAAAGTTTCCTGCTTTGCTGAGGAGTCTGCCAGACACACTATGATGGCCTATAGGCTGAAAATGGAACATTATAGAAGAACTTTGGGTGACTGACCAGGCAGTGAGTTGTCTCTGTCATTTATAGAGTTTATATATTATCCTTCAGTGATCTTTGATGGAGTTGAAGACAGATAGTTATGGTTATAGTTTTCCTTAGTTAGGATTAAAGATAAGTTACATATAAGACTCTAGACTCACAGAGATAGGATAGATGATAATATTTTCTTTAAATTTTGCTAAACATTAACAGACAAAATATTGTTAACTGTAGTTCTTATTTGATAACTGTTTTGTTATATATTTTACTATATTAAGGTTAAAACCCTTCTCTTTATTTAGACAGAAAAGAGGAGATGATGGGAGATGCCATTCTGTAAATATGTTTCTTTTATTGGTTAATGAATAAAGTACTGTTGGCCAATAGGAAAGCAAGATAGGCAGGACTAGAAGACAAGGAGGAGAGAGGAAGTAGTAGGGAGGAGTTTCAAGACGTAGGGGCAACAGGGTAAAAGTCGGTGCCCTCTCTTAGATAAGATAAGACCACGTGGAAATACTTAGATTAATAGAAATGAGTTAATATTTAAGACAGAGCTAGCCAATAAGAAATGCTAGTAACAGGCCAACAGCATTATATCAAAACAAAAAAAACAAAACAAAACAAAACAAAACAAAACACAAACGAACAACAACAACAACAAAAAAACCAAAACAGTAATATTACACGAAATAGCAGTTTGATTATAATTGAAATAAGTTAGAAAGCAATATAGTCTCACCAGCAAAATGCAGTATTTCTAGGAAGAAATCAAGGGTATAAGTTTTTCTGGATTATGAACATTTATGGATGGAAATACTTTCATAGAGAGAAATATGTGCTAGACAAGTAAAAGTTTGCAACTTCAGAGCAATGTGCTCTTGTTCCAAACCAACCCCAAAACATCATCATCAAACTAATTTGTGGAAATTGCTCAGTGGACTCTGTATTTACATAGAAATAAATGAAAAATGAACATAACCGTGCAAGTCTTTAGAAAGAGAGATGAAAAAAACAAAAAGACCCCACTCCACTGGAACACAAGACTGATTGCCAGGAGCCAGCATGTGTGGAGCATAGCATGAGGGACAGATAGATTGACTGAAGGGCCTCTCTCCCACAACTCAACCAGGGCAGAACTGGACTATAAATCTGGTTTTGACCTACAAGTCCTGTTTTAAAATAATGAGCCAATTAACTTGATGGGGTTAAAAAAAAAAAAAAAAAAAAAAAAAAAAAAAGAGCATCCTTCCATACCCTAAGATAACTTTTTGGTCAATGAATACTATTAGAATGCAAGGAAAACAAATTGGGTGATTAATTCTGACCAATGAAAATAATTGTTTTCCCAGTAGATGTACATTTTGAAGTAAATCTTCTAGGGAAAAACAATATGTGAAGGAGAACTTTCAGTTGTGAGCAGCATGCTCCAGGAGTGGCCAGGCAGCCTTTGGAACTAAACAGAGTTACAGATGTCCTTAGCTACGCTTCACGGGCTACCTGACCTATGCTTTACCTGGTCCCTGCTTCACTCTGTATGAAGAGCCAGATTCATACCCAGCAAAAATCCACAGGGCTCCTCCCAGCTCTCACCCGCCACTGCTCAGCTACACAAAAAGAAAGCAAAGCACTCCTCAGACTCAGGAGGAGCTTGCTTACCTTTGCCCTTCTTTCTGGGGTATCTTGATCCTGGTTCTTAGAAGGTGGTTTGCCTTTGTTAGGCACACTTGGGATGACCTACCACCACCAAAGAAGGGGGAAAGAAGAAAAATGAGCAAGCTCAAATATCTTTTTCTAAACTTGGTATGATGGTGCACACTCATAATCCAAGCACTTGTGAGGCTGAGGCAGGAGGATCCCAAACCTGGACTACTCCCAGCTCAAGAGCTGGGAGACATAGTTTCTCAAAAGAAAACAAAAGGTGGTGGATTCCTTTAATTCAGCACTCAAAAGGCAAAGACATGAGGAGCTATTGAAGTCTGAGGCCAGCCTGGTCTACACAGCAAGTTCCTGGCCAACCAGGTCTACATCATACTGAGATCATATCTCAGAGAGAGAGAGAGAGAGAGAGAGAGACAGAGAGAGAGGGAGAGATCTCCCTCTCTTCCCACCTTCTTCATTAGTGTGGTGTGGGCAGCTCAGGTTGATCTAGACCTTGTTATGTAGTCTAGGCTAGCCTCAACCTCATTATCCTCCCAGTTTAGGATAACAGGTGGGTTCTGTGGAGGTGGGAGCAATGCATTTGGGCTTTGATACATTCCTTTTTTGTTTATTTACTAGTCTGTGCCATTGCTCATGCCAGGCTTAGCACTGAGCAAGCTCCAGCCTTTGTTTCTGTGTTTTCAGACAGTAAAGACTTATTGAACCTGGTGAATTCATCTCAAGGTAAATATAAGAACTTCAATTCAAGGCAATCAGTAAAATTTGGTAAAGTGGAGAAAATATGCATTGTGAAATCATGTCACCAGAACAAATAAACTAAAGATTTGTGTTTAAGGTGATGACAGAGAAAACTACAAATGAGGTAACAAGCCACGAGCCATGTGTCAGCACAGAGATGAATGGAAATGGGTCAATTTTGGTTATGAGAGCTAGCTAAAACAAGCCTGAGTTACTAGCCAAGCATTTACAAATAATATAAGCCTCTGTGTGATAATCTGGAAGCAGCTCCCAGGATGGGAAATACCTCCTACAAACCTCATTTATTTGACCTCTGAACTTCCAGCTGCAAAATGTTATTTAGTAGACTTTATGGACTTGATAATTATCTAACTATCACTGTTGGGAGAAGGATAAATTACAAATTTATTTTCACTATCCAGTGACAGAGGGAATTAGATGATGTGTTTTTGTAATTTCTATGGTGTGCAGACAAAGTCTGATACATAGTTGCATTCAATGAGCATGTATTTATGAATGAATGAAGTTCAGGCTTATATTTTCTATATTTATTTTATTTTTTATTGTATGAACGTTTTACCTGCACATATGTCTGTTTGCTGCATGCATACCAGGCCCCCATGATGGTCAGAAGAGGGCATTAGACCCCCTGGAACAGGAGTTATAGGTAGCTGTGAGCCACTGTATGGGCATAGGAATTGTATGTGCTTCCTATGCAACACCCAGTTCTCTTAACCACTGAGGGATCTCTCTAGTCCCCTGAAGTTCAAGTTTATAAAAACAATTTTAATTCCTATTGATGCCAATAGCAGAACTTTCTTATTTTGTTTGGTTGATGGTATTTTGAGACAGGACCTCAATCAATCATTACTTCAGGGCTACTTAGAACTCTGTGTAGCCCAGGCTGGCCTTCAGTGTGTCGTTGAGCCACCATGTTCACCTAAAGGTACATCCAGGAGCTGGCTTGTCCTCCTGGTTCTCCCTCTGCAGTGGCTGCCTCTGGCATTCAGCGATTACTTGCCAAATAATGTCTCTCTGTAATGTTATCTATGAGACACTTTAGGGAAATACAGTATTTTTAGTGTTTTTTTTTTTTTCCTAGACTTAGAGATGGAACCCAGAGACTCCCTCCCTCACTCATGTTAGGCACTGTAGTGCTAAGCTGAACTCCTAACCACTTGTTATGATCTGGAGATTCTTCAAATGGCCAGCAGAAATAATTACGGCATGAAACCTGATAGCAAGCATGAAGGTAGAAAGTTTTGGGGTTTTGTTTTGGTTTGGTTTTCAAAAAATTAAAGAAATTGCCTCTCTGGAGAATATTAAAAAAAAACAAAATTTTCCATTTTGATCTAAATGCAATTGAAGATGAAATTTTATTCACTTTTACTATATTAAATAAATGAATTCAGAATTAGTAAGGTCTCAGAAATGTTTCTTTTCAATAAAACAATTGTACTAAGTTCTTCAAAAACCTTTTTATTCACATGTCTCTGTGAGAGCATTCAGTTTTGCGTGTCCATGTGTGTGCCTCCTGTCTGTGCTCTCAAAGGCTAGAAAAGGGTGTCAGATCCTATGGAGATGGTGTTACAGGCAGTTATGAGGTGCCAAGCATGTGTACCAGGAACCAAACTTGGGTCCTCTGCGAGAGCAGCAAGTGCTCCCAGCCGCTCTCCAGCAATAACTTTAATGTATGATCAGAGCCTCTGTGGCAGCGCAGAGCTCTGTACTTTTGTCTCACATACACTAACAACCTGCTTGAGTACAAGATCATAGCCCATGGGCAGCAGATCCTTGCCAAAAATCAAGAAACAAAAAATTTGGGGTCTACTTTCACCCATGTCAACCAGGCAGAGGGAGATAAAAGGCCTGCAGAAGCTGTGATATGAGCAGTGTTAGTTGCCTCTCATGATGTCTACATCCTGAATATGGAAGAAATACTACTGTATATGCTAATTAATGGCAAAGCTCACGTAATAGTGAAAAATGAATTTATATAGTTAACAGGGAACCTGTGCATGTACCAAAAGTTCTGCACTGTCCTACAGCCATGTGATACAAAAGCACAGCCAGGACACTGGAAAGAAGAAAACAGCACACACAACACACTGCTTCTAGGTCTAGTGTTAACATATCAGTATTCACTAAGTGCTTGGAGATGAATTAAGTTCAATTTTAATTTTAATTCTTAATGATGCTTAAGGGATAGCTGAGGAGATGGCAACAATTTCCAAAAGGTTTTCTTGTTGTTGGAAGTGGCATGGGGTGGGGATATGAAAAAATACACACAATGCTACTATCAAAGGGACTTACATTATATGGAAAAAATTAAGCTTGGCATAGAAACTTGGCATAGAAATGTGGTGTGAACCATAGGCTCTGATTGTGAATGAACAATTGCAAGTTAATTTCTGGGATTCAGAAATTCAGAAAGGCATGTGTTGGTGCTTGTTTTTATGTGGCACATGAACCACCATGTAGTTTATGGTGCTAAGAAGTCTTAGCACAAAAACACTTATACATGTTAGTCCATTGAGTAACATGGCATCAGGAAACCTTCTTTTAGGGTTTTGAAGAAAGTTCAAAATTTAACGTGAACAGGTCAAAATGTTTAAGATAGCTGGGCAAGGTGGCCCACACTTGTAGTCCTAGCTAAGTGGAAGGCAGGAGGATCAGGAGTCTGAGAGCAGCCTGGACAACTCAGTAAGACTTTGTTTCAAATAAAAATTAGGGGTTGAATGTGGAAGGTCAGGGGGAGGGTGCTTGCCTAGCATGTTGAGATACTCTGGGTTTGATCGCTAGCACTGGGGATTAATTTAACAAAATAAAATCTGGAAGGATGGGGAGGAACGTAGCGCAGGAGTACAGTGCCTGTCAATGTGAAGCCTGGAGTTCTAGTTAGTACTGCAAACTAGAAAAGCAATGAAAGCGTAAAGGTACTCTCCATGAACTGCCCTCCACCTGAGGACTTGAGCCAACAATCAAGCCAAACCCCTTTAGCAAAGGCATGAAACTTGATTTGTATCACTGGTTCAGGAATTAGGCTGTTGAACCAGGTAAAAAGCGAAGCAAGGCATCATAGTCACCAACACCATCAGTAAGCATATGCTCAAGGTTGGAGGCCAAAGGCTACAGTGGCAGCCTGCCCTGCTTCCTGGAAGAAGTGACAGGGGCATGGGAGAATGTTGAGGAGATGCTCCTGTTTTTATAGCTGACTTTATGTCGTCCATGAAAAAGCTCGTATCTCGTCTCACTAGTGAAAGCTATTAGAGGCTCAATACTTTTAGTTGAATCTATTCAAACGTTCTAAGTATTTTTTCAGCAGGCCACTTAAGGTTGGCCACATAATATATATCCTGGATGATACATTTTCACTCTTAATTATTTTTTAGAAGTACCACTTGGCAAGTAACAGTCTGGCTCAATTTCCTATTGAACAAAGTTCTAAAATAAAAGCATAGCCACAACTACATTCTCAATAATATAAAGTACAGTTTAAAAACTGGACTCCAAAAAGCCCAAATGAATCTCAAATCATATGAAAATGAGAGGTGTGTATGCAGTTCCCTCTCAGCTAGTCTTGCTGGGGTGAGCAACACACTAAGGATGGACGGCACAGGGGGGTGCACATCCACGCAGCAGGGCTGCCCGCTGTGACCATGGCTGCAGCCCTCTATGGAGAAATTGCTTTTCTGCATGCAAAGCATCCCATCCAAGCTGGGGCGCTGGGGCAGCTGGTGACCCTCTTGTTCTGTTCCCCATACTGTCATCTGAAGGACTACATTACAGTCTCCAGACACAAGAAATACTGTTAATTATGTAGCTTTTCTACTGTTCAGAAGTACACATTGCTTCCATTTCTAGAATGTAAGGTATTAAGAAGTCTACAACCTGCCACTGAGACCTTTGTGTCAGAGTTCCCATTCCACAGAATGAGCAGCTATCACTCAACAACATAGCACTGACAACATATCTGTATTCACATGATTCAAACAGGCAAACACCTGAAGGCTCCTCTATAAGGCTTTTATACCCGACTCTTCAAAGTAACGAAGAAAAGTGAGGTAGTGTGTGGTTGTGTTCGCAGAGCTGGCAAGCAGGCAGAGGAAACAGAAACTGAACTCTGATTCTCGGGTGTGCTTAAACTAATGTATGGTGTCATGAGGCCAGCAAATCAAAATTGGGCCTAGAAAACAGAGACTGAAGGGAAAAGCTAAAGGTGTGTTGAGTTAATACTTTTTCTACTAGTAAAACCAAGCAACAATGAAAACCAAGCAGCAATGAAAATGCGGGAATACTGGGAGGCAAAGGCTAGCACACAGGAGAACAGAATAACCCTGTTGAAATAGGAAGGGGAACTCACCCTGGGGGTGGATGACAGGCTCTGCACCACGAACACCACAGGGTTTCCTGCGTTCTTGATGGCCTCCACAGCTTCTGCATGTGAGGCATTCTGCAGGTCTATGCCAGACACCTAAAACACACAAGACGGCATTCTGATTAGAAAGGCACCAGGTTGTAGACAGATTAGTTCATGTGTTTCATCCTGAGGGTGAGAAAAGCCAGAAACTAATGAGTTAAACCACAGCCAGGGATCAGAAACAATGATATAGGAAATGTTCTCCTTTTTCCTACTGTGATTAAGGAAAATAATGTTTCCACCTGGGGGAGGACAAAGAGGGCAGTTACATTATTACAACAGTCCCACTTTCATTCACTGACCCTACACAGGCAGCTGGTAAGGTTCCATTCCATCGAGATCTCTACAATAGCATAGGGCTGTGTGTAACAAGCCTGACTCCGAGTAGGTCAGGACTTTTACCACCTCTCCATTAAACTGAGGGTTATTGAATCTGTTATTACAATTCAGAAGCTGTATATTTCTCAATTTGTGCTAACAAAGGAAGTGTCCAAACATGCACAGCATCTTGTACTAAAAAGTGTTTGTAGCTTGCTTAGTATGGAAACTCAGAGACCATAACTTACTAGCATCTCCAGAGAACCAGGGTTTCAAATCAAGAACAGAATAGTCCCTTAATTGTTGGGGTGGGTTTTAGTCAGTAGTGTGGCTAGTGCTGTGCTTCAGGGGCACTTTGAGCAGGATTGAAGGATGAATGCAAGTATTCTCCTAGCAGATCCAACAGTGAAAGATGAGGACGGTTGTTGGTGGAAAGCTAGGAACAAATGGAACTCTTGACACATTCATGCAGCACTCACACATATACATAAAAATAATAGATAACAAGTAAGTCTTTAAAATAAGATTAGTCTCCCATGAAACTGAACAAATGTGACCCTCAGATACAAGCACACAATCAAGAACTTGCTAAAGGTTCTGGGGATGCAGGCGTCCACCTGTTCTACACGCAGCACTATGCTAAATCCTTCAGTCAGCTAGGCTCTCCCCTCACAAGCTAGAGAAGTTCATATAGTGCATAGATAGTATACAAACTAAGGTGTCACATGGACATTACATGGACCCAATTATACTAAACATGAGGTTTGCCAAAGTGAGTCTTTCACTGATTCAAATGTTTCAAGTAACACATTGTTTCAACTTCACTTACCTCAAGTATTTTATCTCCTGTTTTAAGTGCATTGGTTTTTCCTGCAGGACTATCTTCTAGCACTTGTTTGATGAATATACCCTTGAGCTCCTCTCCATTCTTTAGCCGTTTTATCACTGTTTGTCCACCAACAATGCTGATTCCAAGAGACACACTGGGCTCTCTAAAAATCTCAACACTATAAAAGGGACAAAGAAAACACACTCATGAATACGGTAATTTAACTTGCTCTATTGTTCCATTTATTTCATAGCCTGGGGCTCATGTTTTATTAAAAGTTCCTAATGTACTTTTGAGGTGTTATATAAACGTGCGACCTCAAATGATAATACTCTACCAAAATTTATAACATGTGAAAGTTTACATTTTGAAAAGACAGATCTCTCAAATAAGAACTCCTGAGATTCCACGATGGGTTATCAAAGACTTAGTGTGCGTCCCTCCATCACTGTACCATCAGTCATTGCATTCATATGCACAATGTTAGCAGAGCCTCTGAGCAAATAACAAAGAGGGCAAGACTCAAGAAAACACTAGTCATTTTAATAAAGCCTCACTTTCTCTAGTTGAGAGTTCAAGTGTGAGCTTCTTTGTAGAAGACCAACTTTATCTGCTAAAAAAAGCTAGAGGGTTCCTTTGCTTTCTACATCCACATCATTGTTTGTTTTTGTTATTTGAGAAAGGGTCTCAATATACAGCTATGCTGACCCTGAATCGGCATTCTTGTTTCAGCTTCCCCCAGATAGCATGCATGGGCCTTCATGTCACCTGTACACAGACTCAAACAAATGTTTATATTTTATCCAATCACACTTTACAAAGGAGTAAGAAATGAAATTTGTTCCTATAGAAGTTTTGCTTTGACTATAGAAGCATGACTAATAGTCAACTCAATTACCCAGAAAATATGTCTTTAGGGTCTTTCAGATAAAACTTGGAATTGCGAAATGAATAGGCTGGAGGGCTTGGATTTAACACAGAATAAAAACAGAGAGAGGGGCTACTACTGAAGGATATGCTGACCATAAAATGCTGGTGGCCTGACAAGTACTTTTATGTACAACCACATACAAGAGAAGATGAGCCCATTCTGTGAGTCCAAACCAGACACAAACTCATACTCTCCACCAGGAGGGAAAGCGGCTGGTAACTACTGTTTCCAGACCTGTAGCTTCAGAGCACCCAAGGCAGCACCACCACACATGTAACAGACACATGACAAAGCATGATGTTCATCAGTGGCTAGTCTCAGAGGAAAATTTGTAGGTTGCTTTATCTGAGACAGCATCAAAGAGTTTATTGACACTGGCTAACAGTTTTAGACAAGAGAAAGGGGGAATTAGCACAAAGTATATTTCTTATTTTAAATTTCAATTACAGTGTGACTAAGTGTCTTAGATATGGTTTCTATTGTGATAAAACATCATGACCAAAAATGGTTTATTTGGCTTAAACTTCCATATTGCTGTTCATCTCTGAAGGAAGTCAGGAAGGAAGCCAAAAGGGACAGGAACCTGGAGGCAGGAGCTGATGCAGAAGTCACCAGAGCAGTGCTGTTTACTGACTTGCTCCTCCAAGTTTGCTCAGCCTTCTTTCTCTTTCTTTCTTTTTTATTTTTTCCTCTTTCTAATTTTTTTTCTTATTTTATATATTGATCCCAGTTCCCTTTCCCTCTCATCTTTCCATCCCCCCCCATGTCCCATTCCCCATCCACTTCCCCAGGGAGGGTGAGGCCTTACAGGAGGGATCATCAAAATCTATCAAGTCATTTGGGGTGGGGCTTAGGCCCTCCCTCATGTCTCTAGGCTAAGGAAGTATACCTCCATGGGGGAATGTCCTTTCATGCACCAGGAATACATCCTGGTTCCACTGTCAGAGGTCCCATAGACTGCCCAGACCTTCTAACTAAGACCCACATTTGGACAACCAGCCTAGGGATGGCCCCACCCATAATGGGCTGAGCCCTCCCCTATCAATCACTAAGAAAAACTCTCTACAGCTGGAGCTTATGGAGGTAATGTCTCAATTGAGGATCCCTCCTTTCCAGATGACTCTAGCTTGTATCAAGTTGACACAAAACTAGGCAGCAGAGTAAATAAGCTGAAGAAAGAATAAGGGCATGCTTGCACTAATGACAGTAATGGTATACACTCACATTCTTGGTGGACCCCAGTGGCTGAAGTTTGGCGTTTCCTCCCCTTCACCTTCCTCTCTCTCAGGTAACTCACTGTAAGGGAAAAATACAACATTCATCAGGCACATTCTTATTTTTAAAAGGTAAGTCATTAATTTTTTAACATCTTAAAGTATTCATTTCAGTGAATAAACAAAGCAAACATTCACTGCTTTAATAGTCAACAAAACAGGCCCCAACATAGCTCTATGCCACCACAGAATGATTAAAATCTGGTAAAACATGAGGCTCTTCTTCTAAAAGATTGCCTTTAATTTGTGCAATGTTATCAATACATAACATTTTTCTGTTGTTCTAGAGTCTCACAGGCTGGCATCGAAGACGCATCAGTCTTCCTGCTCAGCCTCCAAGTACAAGGAACAAGTATGAGTGCCTATGGCCAGCCTAAAACATGTTTCTTAAACCTTTTACTGAGCGACCAGCTCAATCAACAGTCCAGACACCACTGAGTTATTTGGAACTCTCAAGTGAAGTCTACTTGCTGACCTGGATAGGAATAAAGGCTGAATTATAAACTAGTTAGCACAGTAATGTGATTGCTGTTGGTCATGGTGTTAATCACAGCAACAGCAAGCAAACTAGAAACAAACTAGAAGAAGCAGTTTTTTTTTTTTTGTTTGTTTTTTTTTTAAGTCTTAACTTTAGGAAAAATAGAAATCCTTGGTATTTATGAACATTTGCTTTGATTTTGGATTCTTTTAGTTAAGGGATGTAATTCTTATGGTGACAGTGGCTCATTTACACTGTCTTTATAGGAGTTATGTCCCTCATCATGACCAAAAGCAATTTGGGGAGAAAGGGTGTTTCCTTATTTTACAGCTTCTAGTCCCATCATCTACGGAAGCAAAGGCAGGAGCTCAAGCAAAGACCACACAAAATGATGCTAAGTAGAGTGTTCCAGAGCTCAGGATCCACTACTTGACTTATATAGCCAAAGCAACAGTGGACTGAGCCCTTCTACAATTATCAATCAAGGAAAGGCCCCATAGGAATGTCCACAGGTCAATGTCATTCAACCATGTTTCCCTCTTCTTTGGTGACTCTAAGTTTGTGATAAGTTGACAATCAACACTACTAGTTCTCACAACTTCACAGAGGGGAGGAGGCAAGACAGTGTCTATCACATTTAAAAAAAAATGGTTTTCTTTGATAATGATGTAACACTGGGATTCTCCAGTTGGAAAAGACTCACTAAATTGTCACTGCCTATTATCATTCTTTGAGGAGTTGGTATACACATACTATAATCAGATTATTTCATAGAGAACAATGTCTGAATCTTCCTGTAACTCGCCAAAATGACAAATAGGAGGGGAAAGAGGAGGGGCACTTGCTACCTGTTTTCTCAGCCTCTTAGGAAGCATGGAGTTGCTCCTTTGGCCACGTATACGCGATATTGTAGGCATCAAGGGAATGGGCACTGTTCAAAAAGGAATGCCCCACAAGTGTTACCCTGGCAAGACAGGAAGAGTCTACAATGTCACGCAGCATGCTGCAGGCATCATTGTAAACAAGCAAGTTAAGGGCAAGATTCTCGCCAAGAGGATTAATGTGCGGGATTGAGCACATCAAGCACTCTAAGAGCAGGGACAGCTTCCTGAAGCGGGTGAAGAGAATGACCAGAAGACAAAAGGAAACCAAGGAGCAGGGCACCTGGGTTCAGCTCAAGTGTCAGCCTGCTCCACCCAGACAAGCACACTTTGTGAGGACAAACAGGAAGGAGCCTGAGCTGCTGGAGCCCATCCCATATTAATTCATGACCTAATGTACAAAAAGAAAATAAAGAGCTGGACTGTAAAAAACAAAAAAGAAAGAAAGAAAACAACGTCTGAAACTTGTTAAGGTTATGCAAACTGAATAGTAAGTTTCAGAATGTCAGAAAGGATATACAAATGAACAAATAAAGTCACTTTACCATGACTGTATATAACATTTAATCTGAATTAGACTCCAACAGAGCAAGTCAAATACTTTTATTGTACATACTGATATGTAAATTTGCACAAATACACTTAAAACATCAAGGAAATTCTAATTTCTCTGATTGTTTCATTACTATTTTCTAGTTACCATATACAGTAGTGGATTTCCTGGTGACACTGTCACACATGACATTATACTTTGCTCTTATTTACCTCCCTGTCACCCTCCTTAGCATCCTCTTAGTGGTCCTATATACATACACAAACAGCTTTTCCAACAGTGTTCACCTCACTTACACTTTTAATCCTGTTCTGGATCCCTCCTCTTCACTTTGGACCTCTACCTCCCGTCCCAGTCACCCTATTAGTTTGATCTCTCTCTCTCTCTCTCTCTCTCTCTCTCTCTCTCTCTCTATCTATCTATCTATCTATCTATCTGTCACATGCACAACACAAGGAAATGTAGACAAACACACCAATCTAAACCTAAGTGCCATGTGAGAGAGAAAACACGCAATACTCATCTTTTTGAGTCTAGCTTATTTCACTTCGTACAAAACCTCCAGTGCATCTATTTTCCTGCAAGTGTCACAACTTTATTCTTTACAGCTGAACAAAATCTCTTGTGTGTTTGTGTCACATTTCCCTTACCAGTCTGCTCTTGTTGGACACTTAGGCTAGCTCTGTAACTTAGCTGCCAGAAATAGTACAGCAATGAACATGGACGTGCAAATGTCTCTGATTCAGAACATAAGACATATTCACGAGATGCAACATACTGTAGTTCTGATTTTATTTTTTCAGGAACCTCCACACTGATTTCCAAAGTTGCTGGACCAGAGTAAATACCCACCACAGAGTACAAGGGTTCTTCTTTTCCCACATTCTCACTAGAATTTTGGTATTCTTCTTCATGACAGATGTGCTGACTGGATGAGACAGACTTTCAATGTAATTTTACTCTGTAATTTCCTCATGGTGAAGAATACTGAAGAACATATTTTCAAGTGCTTATTGAACAGCCTATGTATTCCACTGAGAAATATGTATTCCATCTATTAGAATTTTTGGAGTTCTTTATAGACTCGAGAATCCTGTAGGACAAGGAGTTGGCAAAGCTATCCTCCCAACCAGTAGCTGCCTCTTCCCTCTGCTGAATGCTTCATTTTCTATGAAGATTTTTAATTTCATGCATTATTATTTGTGAATTCTTAGGGTGCTTACTTGAGGAGGAAAATTAGAGTAGTAGAGTGCATCTTCCCTGGGTGAGACTGGGAAAATTAAGCACATGTCCACTCCTTTCTGTGCAAAAGAAATGGGCTTGACCTGTGTTTAGATCTCTTCCATTTCTTTAGTTAACAAATTCCAGTTTAGAGTAAACCCTCCACTTCTAACAGATTCAACTATCAACACTAAGTACAAGGCAAAGTAAAACAACCAAAGGTGCTTCACCGACACCTAATTAGACCACGTAAAACATGTTCTCAACCCTTCAATCTAGGAAAAGTAACTATTGCTGACTTATTCCTATGCTCCCCGCTGCATGCTGACCTGCACCTGCATTTATATATTTATATGTACATATCATCATATATAATAAAATACAAATGTGTGTGTGTGTGTGCGCGTGTGCCCATGCAGATGCCCTCCTTGCCTTGAATTATCTGTGCAATATGCATTTTACTAGCCTCTTTCCATGGCCAAGAGTCTCAACATTACCCGTTCCTGCCATGTTCAACTTCTGACCTTTCCATTCCATTCTCAACTGACTGTATAATTTGTACTTAGCACCACAATACAGACAAAGCTGCTCTGTGCTTATGGAACTCCATGAAAACGTTTCTCTTGGCCTTATCTTTGGCCTTTTTGTAGCAGGGACCCTGGTTTCCCATTCATTAATTTCCTTACCATTTCTTTCATCCCCTACCTCTCCTTTCCCTCAAAATCCAGGCCTAGAGCATCATGTGGGGCTCACATTCTTCTCACTGCTTGAGTTTCCTAGGATGGTCCTTCTGAGATCTTCATCTATACTTGACCATGTTCTCAATGACATGTCAGAATACACATTAATCCCAGGTTGATATATCCAATGGATTCCATTCACTTTGTGGATTTAGGGATATTTCAATCCTCAACATGTCCCCAAATAACCTGACAATTTTTGTGCTAAGCTGTGTGTAGGCCTTTATCTTGTCAAAGAATTAATGTCCCATTTTCTAGCTTCCTACTCCAGAACCATGAGTCTTATAAACTGTCATTTGTCACGACTCCCTACAGATTCTCTGATGCTTAAGTCTACACATCCCTTCACTTGCTGGCCTGTTAACAGAAACTCTGAACATCCCATTCTCTAAGCAAATACTGTATGAAATCCATTTTGTGAATAAAAATACAAAATTCTGTTTGTGACCCAATTTCAAATACTATGCGAACTTTTAATAGTAATTGTCTAATACAGATTTAGTCATAATATCCCTCTGTATTTTCTAAATGTTACTCTAAAATTTCATATTATTTTAGAAAGAAAAGCCAAACCAGAAACCAGCTACAGGGTTAGGGAACACAGGGGAGGGTCTTCAGGGTGGGCAATGAAAATAAAGGACAAAGTCACATATGTAAAAAAATGACAGGATGAAACATATTACTTTATAAGGCCACTTAATAATAATAAATAGTAAATACACTACACTGTATAAAACAGCAGTTTTTTTAAAGGAAGAAGAAAAATGAACATGTAGAGGAAGGACACCATACCATGCAGCACTGGTATATCTTGAAGACACCATTCCCATGTGTGATGAAGGCTTGGAGACTGCCCGGGCGCTGGGCAGTCGGTACAAAGGCAAATCTTCTTGCTCTCTTCTTTGGGCAACAGCTGGAAGATCAACAAGCACGCCAGGACCTTCGGTATCACTGGGAATCATCATACCTGCAGAATACAGAGGATGGGAAATCAACACACAGTAATTCAACACATTGTTTAGGATGCCCACTATAGGTATGACCCTTCCATCTAGGAGATGCATGACATTAAAGTACTTAAGTGTAAGCCTTAATGCCAGATGGCAGAAATCACCCCTGAAAAATGAGGCAAGGAAGGGGATGGGGCTACACAGAGGAAGTAACTTTTCCAGTGTGTCCTCACTTTATCTTTATCATTACTTTATCAAAGAACTTCCTTATGTTTTCTAATTATATTTCAAAGCCTTCCTTTCTCACCCTAGACTATTCTGGTTATGAGTACCCAGGCATTTATTTATTTAAACAAGATGACCCCATGGGGGAAAAAAAAAAAAAAAAAAAAAAAAACAAAGTAAGAATTCTTACAACTGGAAAGGCCTGGTTTAGAAATTTCAGAATTCTTTTTTATCTGTTGACTTGTTGTATTTTACAGATAATTGAAAGAAATAAAAGGCATTACTAACTATATTTTATAAAGGGCAAAATTCAGGTTAAGGAGTTGCTAATCATTAGATTGTGAATGTTTGTGCAAGGAGGGTACATACATGCCATAGTGCATGAATAGGTCAAAAGACAACCCTTAGGACTTGGCTTTCCTAGGTCACTGGGCTTTGCAGTGTGTTTACTATTAGCCATCTGCTGGTCCAATTTTGTATATCTGGCCACTAAAGTATACAAATTGCCATAATTTAAATTTTATCTTTTTTTTCCACTATTAAAAATCTAGATTTTAAACAGATTCTTGAACTGGTGGTTCATATCCATCAACTCGTTCAACTTTAACACATGTCTCATCACCAGTAGTTTTTCCAGAACTACCACCTTCACCATGGAGCTCCATGAGTTTTCCCAATTCAAACTGGGTTTCTTCAGCATTTTTACTTTTCTAACGCAAACGTCATGAAGAAGATAAATGGACTGGCAAGCCTTTCCTATGTCTTTCCCAATGCTATCTAGAATCAATTTATTAACCACCTCCTTCAAGTCATTTGTCCGCAATTCTTGGTTCGTGACTTCTATCATCTTCTTGCGGATCTGGTGGACCTGCTGGTTCTGTGCATAGGAGGTCTTGCGTATCTGGTTGTTGCATTTTTAGTGAAACTAACATAAAACAGATGGATCAAATAACCATTAGTTGTCTTGACATCAACATGTGCTTTAATCACGCTCTGCCACTTTTTGACCATGGAACACATTTTGTCCCGGGTAAGATTCATGCCATAGAAGTTAGTCAGACAGTTTTTGCCCTGAACATCTTCAGTAATTAGCTTGAATTATCTGAATGCAACATCATCATTCTGTAGATCATCAAGGCTCACTTCAAATACACAACCCTTGAGGCCATCAAATGCAGGTTGGTTACTTGAGTTCTTGTGACTAGTGTTTTCCCAACGTTCCTAATATTGAAAAATGGCTGGAGCTTTCACATCATACCAATCTTTCTTCGAAATGGATCAACCACTTTCTTCTTGGCTCCATTCTTGCTGCCTTTCATCAGATGCTTGTTCTTGCCGATCCCCATGATGCTGCTGAGAGAGCCAAAGGGGCTCTGAATTCAAGAACTTACTCAAGCTGGGCAGGGAGCCAACTTTTATCTTTTTTAGGCCAAGTCTCTATTGTTATTTTAATTCACTTATGTGGGGGGGGGTACACACGAGTGTGCACTGATGTGTGCATGTGTGCACACTTGGGAAGGCAGAACAAGAACTGGGCTGTCTTCTTCTAACACTTCCAGCCTGACTATCTTGTGACGGGGCTCTCACAGAATGAGAAGCTCACCACTTCATGCCCAGGTTTTTATACAGATGTTGGAGATTTTAACTCAGGTTCTTGTGCTTGCAAAGCAGGCTTTATCTCCCAGTGGGTCCCCAGTCCCTATTCTTATTTTTTGTTTCCCTCTCTGACTCACAAAGAACTGTCGGCCTCTACCTCCTAGGTGCCGGGATTAAACGTATGGGCCACCATGCCGGGAAAAAATTCTTTTTTTAAGTTATGTGTATGCCCACAAAGGCTAGAAGATGACATCAGAATTCCTGGAGCTAGAGGTACAGGCAATTTATAACCCATTTGTGGTGGGTGCTGGAAGCCAAAGTCTGGCCCTTGTAAGAGCAGTAAGCACTCTCAGCCACTTATCCAACCTTAATTATTATTCTTAATTTTTAAAATGGTGTGTGTGTGTGTGTGTGTGTGTGTGTGTGTGTGTGTGCGTGCGTGCGTGGTGTGTGTGTGTGTGTGTGTGTGTGTGTGTGTGTGTGTGTGTGTGTGTGTGTGTACACATGTGGTAGTCAGAGGACTTTTAGGAGTGGGTTCTCTACTCCATCTTGTGGAAGGTCTTAATGTTCCTGTTGCTGCATGAGCTTCCAGGCAATTCTCCTTTCTCTGCCTCCCACCTCAGCATAGGAATACTGGGACTACAAAGGCATGCCAATACATCAGGTGTTTTACTTGAGCTTTGACTTAAACTCAGGTTTTCGAGATTAAATAGCAAGTGCTTTCACCCAATTAACCATCTTGCTGCTGTGTGCAAGTGTCCCTCCTTTATTATTACCTACATGGTTTATTTTGAAAATGTATTTGTGTGTGTGCAGCTTGTGTGCGTGTCCATGTGTGTGGATGCACTGTGTGTTCCTGTGTGGAGGCCAGAGGTTGATGCTGTATTTTTCTTCGTCACTCTCTACCTTACTTACACAGGCTGGGTCTCTTTCCGAACCTAGTGCTCTCTGCTACGGTGAGCTACTCTTGTGCAGACTTCTGAGGATTCACTGTCTCTTTCCTAGCACTGGAATTAAAAGGGGCTGTCACACCTACCTGGTTTTGGCTAGACTCTGAGGATAAGAACCTTGATCTGCACATTGGTACAGCAAGCACTTTATCTGGGAACCATCTCCCCAACCCCAGTCTCTTATCCATACCTTTGGTTTCTATTGAGAAGGGCTCATAACCTTAAGGCACATTGATAAGGGAAAGAGTAATAGCTTTGGACTCCAGCTGGAGGCAGACTCCGTATGCAGGTTGGGATGCAGCTCCGTTAGTAGAATGGCTGCTTGGCAAGCACGAAGCCCTGGCTTTGATCCCTTGCACCACTTGAACCAGCTGTGGAGTGCATACCAACAATCCTAGCACTCAGGAATGAAGGCAAGAGGATGGGGAGTTCACGCTATAGTTTGAGGTCACCTGGGCTACTTTCCAGAAAGCAGAGTAATTACAGACTGAAAAACAGCATGGTTGAAGAGCTGACTATGAACAGTTCTGTGTAGAGTCAAGCAGGCAACGGGAAACCTAGCAAGGTCCAGCTGTGGAGAACTTTGCTATCCAGGGAGGAACGTGACTTGCTGTGCCAGGAGCTTTCCTTCAGACCAGCGGGGCCACAGCCTCACAGACCCACGAACCACAAATTGAAACAATTTCCCCCATGACATCCTTCTCTGAGATTTGTATTCTTGAAGAAAATGTGAAATACTATAAATTATGAGGTGTTAGCTGAAAGCTCACAAATATGTAAGGAGATGGAATGCTACTTTATAGGGTTGCATAACGATAATGCAGCATTTATTAAAGCAATATGAAACATGACACAGGTTTTCATCAAGATTATTAGTAGGGGCCAAGGCTCAGTGGGATGTTGCTTGCCACCAAGACTGACAACCTCAGTTCAACCCCTGGAACCTGTGTGACATGATAGAAAGAAAGTACAACTTCTGACTCGTCATAAGCAAGCATGAGTGGGCACATACACAGATGTGAAAAGGAATTTGTTAAAGTTATGTGTACACTTGTTTTCTCAAAGTATTTCTTTCGGAAGTCAAGTAAGATGTACTTTTTACAAAGACTTAATGTGTTTTATTCACCATTGTATATAAAATGTGAGGAGGAGTTATAAGTGGTTGAGACCTTACAGGCAGTTGTGGTTTTCAAACATTCCCTCACACGTGCAACATCTTCTACTTGCCAGAAACTGATGAGAATCAAGTGCACAAAACCAACCAAGTTCCTACTGCACTGAGCTAGCATCCTAGTGGTGAGAGATGGAATGAGCACCTGGACTGATGCTCAGAAACCTTACCTTCTAGGAGAGAAAAGCAAGCAATTCGAGGTACAGAAAGATACGGTGATTTTAGACATGAATGTAGCCAGGAACCAGGTGAGTGGTAGGGACAATCTTCAAGGCTACGTGTGTGCAAGGCACAGGAGAGACAGCATGAGGAAGCAGCTTGATTTGAAAAGGGTGGAACTCAGCTATCATTTTGATTTGCCACCAAAACTAAAAGCACTGCTGCTCAGCAACATGTCAAATAGAAAGACAGGAGCCAGAAGTAGGAGAGCTTTGAAGCCAAAATATAGCTTAAAAAGTTCTGCAGCTGAAGCTCCCCCTGTGGCTGCAGTTGACCTGTCACCGGCCTGCCTGGCCTGCCTGCTCATCTCTCCCTTGTGGGCCCTGCTATCCTCACTTTGATGCAGACCTCCTAATAGACAACAGGAAACCTATGGCAATCCTCTCTCCCATCCTGAACTAGGCTGTTAGGGTGAGGGTCCAAATATTTTCCCATTCTTCTCCATGTTTCTGCTGGTCACAGCCTAGTCTCCAGGCAGGCTATGCCAGTGATTTCCCACTGTGCCTGTGCCTCAGCATCCTGATTTTCTTGTATTTAATGGAGACCTCTATTCCAGACTCTGGACTGTTTTGCATGTCTGCTCTGGAATCCAACATAGGAACCTTTCCTTTGTTGGGGAATGTTACTTTAAGATGTGTGACTTTTGTTGATTTGCATTTGTTTAACTCTGCGAAGCTGGGATTCTTTGCCTGTCTAAAACACCTGATCATCCTAATAAAGAGCTGAATGGTCAGCAGCAAGGCAGGAGCAAGGCGAGGTGGGGCTGGCAGGCAGAGAGGATAACTAGAATGAGGGACAAGGAAGAGAGGAGCAAGGGGAGAACAAGCAGAGGAGGACATCAGGGGCCAGCCACTCACGGAATAAAGAAAAATAACATATACGGAAATAAGAAAGATAACAGCTGAGAAGGAAAAGGCAGATGGGATAACTTAAATAAAGCTGGCAAGAAACAAGCCAACCTAAGGCTGGGCATTCATAACTAAGAATAAGCATGTGTGAATTTATTTGGGAGCTGGGTGATGGGCCCTTCAAAAAACAAAACAAACAAAAAACGAGTAAAAACATCCACAATACCCCTCCAGATTCCTGAAATGTGTAAGACAGTCCAGAATGCCACCCGTATTCTCTTTGAGTTTGCTCAATAAAAGAATAACAAGGCAGACTGAGGAGGCTTTGGCCCACTAAGAGGCCTGCACCCACATTAACTACCATCAGTGTATTCATCACTAGAGTACATCTAGGGCCCCACTCTACACTCTCAGCCAGTCTGTCCTCAGCAAGAACATGAGGCGTTTTCCACCAATGCCTGCCTTGATTCTGTGTCTTTATCATGTCTAAAGACTTCACTCCCCGGAAAGCCAGAACTAACCTGAGTCACAGTCTCTGCATGGTCTTTTCCTAGGAACACCACCCACACCTTACTTTCACTACCTTCCTAGTAAACGACCACTCCCATTGCTTTTGATCTTGTCCAAAGACTCTAGAAGACAGGTCTAATGAAGTGTCAGGGCAGCAGAGATGGGGTGGATAGCATTATCACGCTCAGCTGCCTTCCCATCCCCAGACACCTTCAGTGCCCTCTCTGCTGGAAGCTCATATAGGGGTGTCTGGCAGCTGAAGGTGTTGCCTCTGCACCTCAGCTCAATGGGTGGAAAAGCAGAGATGGAGCAGGACCCAGGCAGTAGCTGTAAGTGCAGCAGACTTTCAACTTGCCAAGCAATTTCCCCAGCAGTCACTGCTCTGCTGTGCAAGTTCATGCAGGTTAGTTACAACTTCTTATGCCTGCTGCACAGACCCTCTGCCCACTGCCACCTCTCTGGCCCTTTGTCAGCACAAAAATGCCTATTTCTCACCTCTCACAGTGTCTGTCACATATTTTATGAGGTATTCACCATGTGCTCACAGACCCTACCAGCCCATAAAACAAATCATGTCCCGGAGCCCTACACAGTTGCCAGGCAATACCTGTAATGGTCACAAAGGTTATAAAAACAGGGAGGTTAAAAAAGGCCCCGGGAAGTTAATGCGTATAGAAGAGGAATGGTGAAAAATTTCCAATCCCTTATACTTAGTGAGGTGCAAGAACAGAATGGCTTTCAGAAAAAGCAAGAAGAGCTTGAGCAGAGAAAATGGGCAGTTGCGTAACTCAGCAATAAAACCAAACTGATGCACTGAACAACCACACCCAAGCAGCATGTTGCCTTCTCACTTGACAAATACTACTTCTGTGCACACTGTGGTAACAGCCAGTGACAAGCCTTTCCTCTCAGGAGCTCAGCTTACAGGAAGAGACTGGTCTGAAAATGGGCACACACAACAGAAATCCCTGTGGAGTGGGCAGCAAGATGGAAATGCAGTTGTTTCTTTCCTGGCATCTTGGCACATTGATCCATGACTTGGAATTCATCTTCTTGTCTTTCATTATGAATCATGTTCATTGACAAGTTTGCTTTCACACTTCATGGAGAACGTGGGTATGTTAGCCAATTTGTTGGTATGTCTTTTGCTGCTGTTTATGTTGGTGTGGAAACCATTATGGGCTCTGCTATTACTGAGTCACATCTGAAGCGGAAAGTCACTATTTCTTGTTAACCACAGGATCATGAATAGCCCATTACACATAGGTTATCAATAAATACTTGTTCTATAAATCTAAGAAGGTTTGTTATTGATGGAGTGGACAGTGAACTACAGATTTGAACGGGGTTCCAAGACTCTCAGATCTAATCTGACTTTACAAGTGAGGAAAGAGGGATGTGGAGAAGCCATGAGCAGATCACCAGATTGGACAGAGGAGCCTGTATCCAAATAGAGCCAGTTGTTTGCTGAGCAAAGCTCTCAGAGAAAAAGGCAAATAAGAATGGGATCAGCTCAGTATACATGCAGCTGGTACCAGCCCACACCAATATCTTCTTAGGCAGCATGATGAGCACCAATCTAGTCATGCCTGTCACTGCACACTCAGATGAATGTGCTTATGAATGGTTTGTGAATGAGGAAAAGTCCAAGATACATAACTTTAGCAACAATCCCCAAATGATATTGTCAAGAATAACTACCTAGGGCCTTGCAAAGTTGAATAGTATTCCCCCAACTACTCTCCAAGAATCTATAATAATTTACAGGAGATGAAATGTCATTTTCTTTAGCAATGTAGCACCAACATTGTTGTCCATGCTCCTATAAATAATGGCCCACCCATGTTTCTGTAAGAAACCCTAATGAATCTCAATGGGTCACTGGGGAAATAAACGTCATGAAAGCAGAAAGGGGCCATTGGGAAAGAGGAAGAGGGTCAATATGAGCAAGTGGGACAGGAGAGCAATGTAGGTGAATGGCTAAAATACATTATACATGTATTTGAAAATATAATACAACCCAGTATGAATACTTAATATGCAGTAGTACAAACCAAGACTACCATTAAATTGTATAGATTCTTTAAGAAATGAAGACCCCAAACCTATGGGGGAAAGTTTGTTTTCATGCACAGTCATGCAGAAGTATAGTTGGAGGACTGGATCTAATGGTAATTAACTAGATAGGATTGGAAGGAAGGAAGAGAGGAAGGGAAGGATAATATGGCTCCAAGCAGTGCCAAGACACTACTGCCATAACATAGCAGCAGTGACAGGGCCAGTGTGGTCTATTCATTCTTGTCATACACCAAGAACAAATAATTACTCATTAATCAAAGATGCATGGAAATGGGGTGAACTTTGAGAAGTAGATTTCCTATAGGTTAGGGAAGATAAAAGCTCTATTTTCCTCCCAGAGTCTGAACAGATGCACACAGTCATCTAATCATCGGATTCTATAGGGACTGCCTGCAATGGTCACTCACTGGCTAACCAGCACCATCACTGCACTGGGTTCTGTGACCACCATCAGTGATCCATTCTGGAGATGCCACTGAATACACTTGGAACCTCACACCACACTGTCACCCCATTCTGAAGTGCCCCCCCACGTGTCCGATATGTGAATCATCATCGCAGAGGGCTCCTCCCCAAGAAAAGTGTAACAGTGAAAGACAGCAGAGAATCCTGAACAGCTCTGAGTCCTGGGGTGAGGACAGAACAGTCTCACCCACAATCTCAACAGTATAACAACAGCCAGGATTTCACTGCTGGATCAATTAAAAAAAATCTTTTAAGGTCGAGGCTTCAAAAGTATATGAAAGTGGCTATTCTGGGGTGGCGAAGAGGTATAATACTTTAGAACTTTTTTAATGGAACCTAAGTTATTAATGTACTAGAGTCAACCATAGTTTATGGCGAAGAAAATGCTTCATAAATGTTTAAAATATGCACCTCTTTATCAATATTTAACAGCCCCATCCCATGAGCTAGCAATTCCACTTAATGGCATTGGAGACTTTAATATATATTAGTAGAGACACAACTCATGTAAGGGAGTAGCCTCCCTTCCAGTCTGTGCTGTGACGCAAAGCAGAGTGAAGCAGAGAATATGCAGCCTTCTCAATACACAGAATTTGAAAGCTAAAGTCAAAATCTCAGCCAAAAGAGACAGTTTTTTTCTTTTTTGTTGTTTTTTTTTTTAAATCGTAATGAGGACATGGAAGGGACTGGAAGGAGAAAAAGGAAGGGGGAAAGGATGTAATTATCTTTTAATTTCAAATAACTAAAAACAGCATGAAGACTAAATGTGACAGTATAATACACTGTATATACAGCAAAGCACAAGGACTGCAAATCATCTAACGTGTGTGTTTTAGAAACGACGCCCACAAACCTAAATCCAGGCTGTTGTTTGTCAGTGAATGAAGATGTTGCATGTCATCAAATCTGCTGTGCTGACCATTAACTTCAGAGGAAGGCAGGGGTGGTCGGGAATCAAGGCCAAACGTTTCTTTCATCTTAAAAGGAAGAAAACCAGAAATTCAGCATGATAAAAAACAATGAAAACACTATGCTGTTCAAACCAGACAACAATAATGGAAAACTGAGGCTGCAAGTTGTTGCACATAACACCCCCCCCCAAGGGGTTATTCTGTCATGAGTTGCAATGAGTGCTACATGAACCCAGATGGGAACACCTGGCTATTTAGGAAGAGTTTCTAAGTATTAACAAACGGATATAAATGAGCATATTCGAGAGAAGACAAACGACCTGGCCATCAATCAAGTCAATTGGTGATACACAGCATCTTAGATGTTCTTCTGACACGATGATGCCATTGCTCTCTCTCTTTGTTCTGCTTCCCTGGTACTCTTGTTTCATTTGGTTGCTGTACTCGTTGTCCATTTTCTAGACAGGGTCACGGTGAACAGCCCAGGCTAGCCTTGAACACTCTCTCTCTCTCTCTCTCTCTCTCTCTCTCTCTCTCTCTCTCTCTCTCTCTCTCTCTCTCTGGCTTCCAGCAGCTAGATTATGTGCACATAATCTAGCCAGATGCCTGTCATGTGGATTGCCCCAAAATAGAATTTACCCGTTGACAAGCACTGCTGATGACTTAGACCCCTTTCCTCCTGTCTTCCCTTTATGAACATACCTTTTACGATTTTATTTTGTTTGTTTTTCAAAACAGGGTTTCTCTATTGCTTTGGAGCCATCCTGGAACTAGCTCTGTAGACCAGCCTCTGCCTCCCGAGTGCTGGGGGCAAAGGCCTGTGCCACCAATGCCAGGTTAGTTTTTGTTTTTGTTTGTTTGTTTAAGTTAATACTATGTTGGAATGGTGAAACACTTGTGCCTTTCCAAAGTCTTATGTTAAATCAAACTGTTCAAGGATTTACATAGTGAAATACAGACTTTAAACTGAAGGCAACTGCAACACAGCAGGTACAGAAGGATCGCTTTGACCTTCCAGCTGTTTCTTATGAGAAGACAGAATTGAAATCCCTTTGTGAAAGGCTTCCTTCCTGAAGGAAAAGAGAAAGCAACATCTTCCTCTTCAAGCACAACTGGAAACCTTACACTTCTCCCTAACACTAAGTCACATTTCCACAACTTTTATTTCTTGGCTATTCCATATCTGAGTAACTGACTTGATAGCTTCTTTGGATCCTCCCTTATGGGGCTCCCATGCTATATGAACTTATGAAGTAAATATGCATGTTCTTCTCTTGTTGATCTATCTTAATGCAATTTAATTTTAGGGCTCTGCAGGGATAGAAACTGGATTTGTCTGCCTCCACAGCTCCCAAGAAGAGGTGGGAGGAGGCAGGCCTCCATCGAGGTAATCAGGTCATAAACGCCAAGGAATTATGAAAGAAATCAGTGTCTTGAAAGAAAAAGGCCCAATGAGAGATTTCTAAATAACCCCTTATAGAAAATTTCACTTATGAACTCTAAATTGAACCCTTCCCAAGCATCGAAGCTATTGACACCCGGGCCTTAGACCTTAGACCTCTTGGCCTCCAAAGGGTAATACATAAATTTCTGATGTTAATAAGCCACCCAGTTCATTATAGCAGCTCACACTCATAGATACAGAACACAAATTGTCATAAATTTCTGTGAGCATGAATTAAAGTTTATGCTCACCATAAGTATATTTAACTAATTTAAGAGAATAGAATTTTTTAAAAAAAGTATTTGGTTTTACTTTTTGCATTCAGAGTCCAGCTCAATAAGCCTGGCTAGCCTCAATTTGTGGTCCTCCTGCATCCAACTCCTGACTGCTGGAATTATAAACATGTACCATCATGAAGAGTACTACCGGTTTTTATTCTTGGAGATTTTGATGGTTCAAAATAAAAATGGGAAGTTTAAATTTTCCACTTTCTATAGAATTATAATAGTCAGAGTTCAGTGACAGAGAAGACAGGCTGATGAACGGCTAGGCTAATTCCTGCCAGCTTTCTCAAACAAAACAAATCACCATCACAGAGAAGAACATAATATCAGCTACCCAGTGGAGCTGGCAATGCACCACAAAACTCAAATATTACATGAGAAGTATGGTGTGACTAGCTATCAGACTGTACTAAAAGCAGTCATAACTTCTCAGAGAAGGGAAAGGAGGAGATAGAAGGCAGTACTTAAAAACGAAAACATTTTGCTGTATTTTTGGCTGATTGGGATATTTCATATTGCCAGTGGCAGTGCTGTTAATAGTAACTGGAAAGCAAGAAAAAAATCACCCCAAATCTGGATTTCGGTAAAGCAGACTTGAATTTTATTATTTTTATTTTATGTGTTTGGGTGTTTGCCCGCATGCTTATTTGTGCCCCTTATTGCCTGCCTGGTAGGTACTATAGAAGAGCAATCACTGAACTGTCTCTCTCCAGCCCTCAGTAAAGCAAATCTAAATGGTTGGATATTCAGAAAATTGAATTTCGGTTATTTTTTATAAATAAAGAAAAAATGAATATATTGTCAGTCTGGTACAAAATCCTGAAGCCAAACAAAAACCAACAACCCACAAACAAAAAAAAAACAAGATGTTTAAAATATGGGCAGCCAGTTGCAATGTAAGGACATATTAGGTCAATGAGCACATAAAAAGATGCTTAACGTTACTAATCACTAATTAACGAAAATTGAATAGAAGTCATAATAAGGTATGTGTGGTGCTGTGTGTCTGTAATCTCAGCTCTATATTCTAATACTCAAAGAAGTCTAAGGCAAGAGAATCTAGAACTCATAGCCAGCCAGAGTGCTTTTTAAACCTGAAATCACATAAAGGAATATTTTGAGTACATGTGGTGACAGTCTGAAGACTGTGAAACTTTAAGAAGGCAGGGCCTGGCTCACAGCAACTGGCCAGTAGGGAGGAGCCTCCGAGGGCTCCAGTCACCTCTGGTTTCAGCCTGTACTTCCTGTTACCTGTTCACACTACCACTGAACAAGCCTGACCCACACATTCCTGCTAACAGGAACTGTTCACACCATTGTGCCTACCCTGCAATGCTATAGTAAACGGGTAGAAATAACTACAAAACCATGACCCAAAGCAACCCTCTCTCCTTTAGGTTTTTTGTTGGTGTCCATCCTCTCCTTTCCCAACAATAAGGCTACTAACTAACCTACTGGGTTACTGGCAAGATGGCATCTCAAATCACACAGTAGGACACACTTGCTATTTACAAACACAAAATTTAAAGACTCAGGCAAACCAGCATTAACAAGGGTGTTAACAAGGGTGTGGAAAGGCAGGACACTGAACATTCCATGGTACAATGTTCAGACAAAAACTAACCGTGACCATCTGATGACATCAACTTGAGATCACAACCAGAGAATATGGAATTCAGAACCATGCTTGCCCTAAGGTCCTTATCAAGGTCTTTTTTTTTTTTTTTTTTTTTTTTTTCCTATTGGATTTATAAGACAGGGTCTAACACTGCACTAATTTCAAATTTACTATCCAGCAAACGTTGATTCTGAACTCGGGATCCTCCTTTCTCCACCTCCCAAATGATGGGATTACAAGCACCTGGCTCATACATCCCATGTCCCACCATGATCAGCTATTCCCAAGGGTCACTCCCATCCACACCATGCTTACATGCCACAAAACAAGCAGATTTCATTTACAATGTTTAGCATTTGTTAGCTCTGCAATAACCCAGACAGGGCACTTCCGACAGAATACTGACCTCATACGCATTTCCACTAATAAGCTGGACTAACTCCTGCTTTAGGACTTCAAGACCAGGAACTTCAAATTCAATACTGTAATAGTAATTTCTCTCTTAAAACCCTGCCTTAGAGTCCTGAAAATGCTTACTGACCACTGTGACCTGGGCACTCCCACAGTGCTGCTGTCATTCCCAAATAAACCCCCAGGATCCTTTGCAATTGCCAATTATGATCTGGGCTGGCACCGTAAGAGAACTGAAAACAAGACTTGAACAGGTATTTATACACCAATATTTTTAGCAACATTATCCAAGAACAGTAAAGGTGGAGGACTGGAGACATGGCTCTGTTGAGAGCTAGACTGATCAACCTGGGCTTTCCTTGAGGCCCATGTATAGAGAAGAAAGTTCCTTCTCTAAAACCATGAATATGATTGACAAAGCTGGTAATGGCCTGAGGTCAGCGCCTTGGGGGCAGTAAGATTTCATATCTCAAGAACGCAATCAACCTACCATATTTGGCTCTGATTATCAGTCCCAAAATTTCCGTGTGCTCAATGTATAATGCACTTGAGATACACTGTGTTCCCTTGTGCAACATTGTTTAATTAGCTTCCTGCTTAGTCCCATTGTATGGCAGACTGCTTTCTCTGTCCCTTTTCTCCACTAGAAATGTTATATACCATGCCATAGTTAGTAATAAACTAGTTTGGCCTAAGATACAGCTTGTACAAGACCTCCAAGTCCTAGATTTTCTCATCTTCGCTTCTATCATTATCTTCTGTTCCCATGGTCCTTTCTTTCAGGACCCGGTCACTGGGGAACAATCTGCTGGTCCCAGTCATGGCTTGGTAGCTCAAAGCACTCACAGCCCTTATAGTGGACCGGGGTTCAGTACCCAACATGTACATGGAAAGCCAAAATGTGGTACACATGAGAAGATTCTCTGAAACTATAAGATGCTACAAAGATGACTTTAAGGTAATATCACCTTATTTTGAAGACCAAAAAAAAAAAAAAAAAAAAAAAGCCCTTCTTAGAACTTTCTTCAAGTGACCAAAAGCAGCAGCTGTCCAATGACATTTGCCTATGAGCTCAGCACCTGAGAACCAGAGGCAAGTTGATTTCAAGGCTGATGACACAAGACCCTGCCTCAAAAAATGGAAAGGTGTGTCAGGGGAGGGGTGAGGGCAAGAAGCCACTTGTGGAAAACAAGCTGTCACATGTCAAGGCAGCTGGGCCTACTCCCAGAAACAACAGTAGGCCTAATATGCACACATGGACACCTGAAGATGGCAGCACCCCTGACACCCAAAAAAATAAACACCGCCACATCTCAGGATTGCCCCCTAAAAGTTCATTTGGGTTTCCTACACGAACCTATTTGTTCTACCCACACAAACCTTTTCTCATCCGCTGCTAATGTCTTCTCTCACTTTAAATGATACTCTCCTCGGTCTGAGCGGAAAGGGACAGAAGAAAAGATTTCCCATTGAGACATACAGGGTGAATTATTCCGTCTTAATGAGGATGTCTGACATACACTGCAATGTGAATGGACCTTGAAGAGCTTATGCTAAGTTAAATAAGTCAGACACATAAGGATAATCTTCACAACTTCCTTTCCATGAAGTAGTCAGTTCTTAAAACACGAGACAGAATTTCAGTGAGTGCCAGGGAACACCGGGTAAGGGGAGGGTGCTTCTTGTTCCCTGGTCTCCCTGTTTCTGTGTAGGAAGATAGGGTTCTACAGTGAACAGACGGTGGCCACACAACAGTGTGACTATATTTAATGCCACCAAACTATATGCCCAAAAAGTGTCTAATACAGAAAATTTCATGGTTCACCTTTTAACTAAGAATATGTGGGTGGTGAAGGATGGACATTTGAGCTTCTCGTGTATTATTTGTATATCACAAATACAACCTTACAAAGACAGAAGCAGCAATGTCCCTGGACACTCCAGAGGGCAGTCCTAAATAGGTGCTGGGAACGACATGCTCATAAGTCATCTGAATACAGTTTTAAATCATCTCACGGATTATAATATATAGGTTAAACACCTTAGCTTAATCTTAAATCTGAAATTTGTAAGTAACAACATTACACAGGTAGAAAATTACATTAAGTGACTTCATATGACAGAATATAGGCCACTAAAAATACTATATAAAGTATTTTATTCTTATGTGAAGTATTTATAAATTTCAGGCTATACAAGTACAAATGAGACAAACAAATTCTGGTTTTGGACTTAGTTCTCACGCCTATCATACTTCATTGCATAATGCTAATATGGTACCAAACATTTCGGATCAGGGACGTTCAATCCAAACTAGATCATGGGTTTCATGATTAAGTTATGTTTCCTGAGGCCCATCAGTACTGAGAAGCAAACAAAGACCCAAGCCCACCCCACCATCACTGAATAAGGGAATTAATGTCAAGTAAGAAGGTGTAATAATTTGAAAAAAATCAAGTGATAGCTTTTCAGACTATATTAGAGCTGAAACAACCTTCATTAATATATCCTATAACATTAAATCATATAATTCAATGTGAGAAGAAGAAAGATTTAATATCTTGCATATTTTGAAATACAAATGGTTAAATGTAAATACTATGAACACATATTTGGCTATTTTAATCTGAAGCCGTAACAGTCTATGTGTGAAAACGGACCAGTTCTTCAGGCAGAATTTTATTTGGAAGTCTAAGTTACTCTTTCTACATAAGAAAGTATTCATAACAAGCAAGCATGACTGAATTAGTGAGGCACACAAAACGGGAGTCAGGCACTGTGCTGGTTTCAATGAGGCCAGCCAATGGCTGGGATGGTTGAATATTCGATCCCTTTTTGGTAGGTTAGGACATAATGACCTTGCAGGGGGAGAGCTCTGAGGTTTCAAAGCCTGGTGCCACTCCCAGTGCACTCTCTCTCGAAGTCTAAGATCTAAGCCCTCAGCTCTCCCGGCAGATGGGCCTGGGCTGAGACGAAGACCAAGCCAACAAGCAGTTAGGTATTTCTGCTTCAGTTCTTGCTTGCGTTCCCGCCTTGACTTCATCAATGATGGACAGTGACCTGGAAGTACAAGCTGAAACAAACCTTTCCTGTCCTAGACTGATTTCAGTCAGTGTGTTTTATCACAGCATCCAAAAGCAAACTAACAAGTACAAATAAAAGAACTGCTGTATCTCAAACAAGATAAAAATGAAGATGATGTACTTGGGAAAGTGTTGAATGATCTGAAAGGGATTGATGTGAACAGAGATACAGACATTAAATATACACTGAAATAATTTAAATGATATTAATATTTATATTAATATTAAAGATTATTAAATATTATTATTTATATTAATACCATCAATTTATATTAATATTATTATATAATATTAGATATAATATATAATTATATAATGTTATATAAATACAATATAATATATAATATAAATTTACATTAATATTATAATATTATTAAATGATATTAACTAAAGGCACATATATACAAAAATTATCATGATACAACTTTAAAATATGAATGTTTGACTAGATGTAGTGAGTAAACATTCTGACTTATATTTCACCTCTCATCTTAAAAGTTTAAGTAGCAAACTGGAAACTGGACCAGTATTTAAAATTGTCTTTTATTTAGATGAATAAAACTTTTCTTTTATGGGAAACAGCAGTCACACATGTGTGCACATGTTCAGTAGTCTGATTGTAGTATGCTTATGTAAGTGAATATTCAGTGTGAAACTGAGCACTTAGGATGCAGGGAAGGGCTGGCAAAGAATGAAAGCCATTGTCACTGGAGTACACCAGGCAATTCAGTGTCACTACTTCCCATAGCCAAGATCATTTACAAATTGAAAACATCTGTTCCTTGGTAGGCTGCCCAGAACCCTCTGCTGGGGGGAATCTTGAGGCTTCATCAACACAGCTTGGAGAGCACCTTGCCCAGCAGAGGAACCCAGAGGATTTGCAGGAGTGAAAGAGACGAAATGTCCAAGGATGGCAAGGGAGAAGGCACAACCTCCACTTGCTTTGCTCATCACACAGAAAGGGATCAGACTGAGCTCAGGGAACAGGGGCCTATGTGTGAGCACAACACCAGCACACCTTCAAAAGATACCCTTTATCTAGGGCAGTCAAGGTGGCTCAGTTGTTAAGAGCACTTGCTGATCTTGCAGAAGATCCTGGTTTGATTCCCAGAGTCAACATGAGACCTCACAAGAATCTGTAACTCCAGTTCCAGGGGATCTGACATCCTGTCCTAGTCTCTCCAGGTACCATTCATGGACATGGTACACATACACACATGCAGGAAAAATACCTATACACATAATAAAACTAAAACTAAACTTAAATAAAGTAAATAAATATACACCAACCATAATAACTCTCTTTTCGTTTGTCTGAAAATTAATTCAGACCAGGAAATACATTTAAAAAATAAAAACATTAAAAAATTCAACAGGCAACTAATTAAGTATAATTTTATTTAAAAATCAAGTTTACTGGTAGTTTAATACTAAGGATAAACCTATTAAACGGTAATGCTGCCAAGTTGTAAACAGGCACAGTCTCAAATCTGAACATAATTCTCTGATTTCCACTACTGATGCACCACATATGAACAGGGAGATAATAAAAAAAAACATACTTTGTGTTAATTTTGCCTGGATTTACCCTGACAAATATACTATACAAGAAACGCATAGCCACGTTCCCCTAAGGGAATTTAAAAGAAAATCTTAATGACTAAAAGAAGTCTTTATTGAACTTAGAAATTAGAAATGTCATACACACACACACACACACACACACACACACACACAGAGCATACGGGAAACCACTCAACCAGGAAGGTAACCACAGCTCACAGATGTAATAGGAAAAGGATGACCGCATGTCCACAGCTACACTGCTGGCAGTGGATCTTGTAAGCCATCCTAACTGGGAAAAGCCCATTTCGTTTCTGCTTTCTCTGTGGAAGTAACATGAGTGAGGGAGGGCCAGAGCGGGGAGGAGACAGGGGCTGTGTAGGAAAGCCATACCATGTCTGAGGTGCTGTAGCTATACTGTTGCCTCTCCTGGGAATATGCACTCCTCATGGAATCTGCATCATGACACTCGGGTGCTTCCCCTCCTGAGAGGTTAGCAGGCAGCCACTGTGTGCCAACCTGGCGTTCCTGCCTGGAAGGTGCATGTGTGGCCTCCTGAATGTGTGGTGGTGGTGGGTGTAACTCCATGGCCCGGAGGTGATCTTGATAGACTTCATATTCCTCATCAACAAGCATCTCTCTTTCCTCGCCCCCTCCCTCCAGTGGAGGGCTCAGAAATTCATGCATTTCCCAGGCTTCTGAGCTGGTATCCATTTCTTTTTGTTGGAACTGTAAAGACTTTCCCAGATCTAGAAATGGTTCATCCACAAGTTCTTCAAGATATGGCTCGTCTCTAAATCCCTGCAAATAAAAGTTTTTAAAAAATGTTAAGCTCCACTTGTCTTAAAACTGCATTATACACCTCAACCCAAAAAAGGGCAGTACACAACAGCTTCAGTCAATGCATGATCAGAGTCAACTGCTCCTTGCATCACCAAACAAGAAGAAGCCACAGCTCATTTTACACAGTCCAGAACTCGGGCATGGAGTAAAGAAGGAGAAGCCCCTACTTGCCTGACAATTCTCTACCACCAGGAGGGATTAGTTAAAACACTGCATCAATATGCAACTCGTACCTAACATAAAATGTAGTTTGTAAGGTCAAAATCACTTCATACTTAAGACAGCAAAGACTGAAAAGTTCAGTGTGGTCAAGTATGAGTAACTCAAAAGAAGTCAACACTATCTGAATGTTCAAAACACATTCTCTTTTATTTATTTATTTTTTTTAAGGACTGAGGATTGAACCTAAGGCCTTGCACATGGTAGGCAACATTCTACTACTGAGCTATACCTCTAGCCCTTAAAAAACCAACCAAACAAAAAAACCTCATAATTAAAGACATAGCTATATGCCTCAAGTACTTTGTATAATTTGCTTTTACTAAGTCATGACATTGAGAATATGATAAAGAGGAATGAATGCAGCATGGTTTTTGCTGAGCCTCTGACCTAACTCTGGGAAGCCTGTGCCTGCTGAGCACAAAGGCCATATCCCCTGAAGATCCACACTCCTCCCTACTGTGAGCCCCACCCATTAAGCACTACCTAGTGTAAATTCCAACAATCAAGATGCCCCTCTGCTTTCTCTTTAAGCCTGCTTTCTCAGGCTTCACACTGAAACAGTGAACCAATACTGTAACCTGATTTAAAACAGAGGATACATTTGAAAATACTACAATTATAAAATTTTAACACAAAGTGTCTAAACATTTAAAAGTGTGATGGACATTGTGGGAATGCTTATCAGCCTGAGACACTGCATATATATCAGGAATGTTACTAAACATCTGTTAACAGGTAAAATGAAGAATACAGTAGACTTTGGGAATAGAAGGGGAAGCTCAACATATACTGTCTATGACTACAGTATCAAAGGGGTTTGAGTAGATAATCTTTGGAAAGTATTCAATTATAAAACTATATGTTTAGCTCCATTTTCTATAGCATTTTACATGGATGTCTGTTTTCCATTATGTATTCCATTGCAAATTTTAGGTTTATATTAGTGCTTTAAAATGTTTATTCTTCCAGCATAAGACAGAACTAGACTCCCTTAATATAAGTGACAATGGTGTGACTGGGACAATATATAAGGCCACTGGCAGTGGGTTCAAGATCTAAATTCTAATGCACAAACTGACTTAGTGTAGCTCATTCTATAGAGAGATACCTTGCCCAGCCTAGACATGGGTGTGGGGGGTGGACAGATGCCTTGGTCCTGCCTCAACAAGATGATGGGACAGACTCAATAGACTTCCTATCTGAGGCCTTACCCTCTCCATGGGAGGGTGAGGGGTAGATGGGAGGAGAGGGGTAGTGGAGGGGGTGTGAGAAAAGGAGGGAAGGGAACTGCAATTGGATCTAAAAAATAAGTTAATGAAAAAAAAAAAACTCAAAAAAATGTTTGTTCTTTTATGCATATTTTTACATTTATTTATTAATTTGGGGGTGGAGGAAGATATATGCCCTACAAGATATATGGAGATCAAAGATAACTTATGGGAGTCAGCTTTATCCTTCCACGTTGTAGGCTCCAGAACTGAACTCAGGGCCATAACTGAGCCATTCTGCTAACCACAGTGTTGGTTTTTTGAAAATGTTTTACATCTTATATCATTTAAAGGAACAATGTAAGACTAAATAAAAAAAATTAAAAAAATTAATTAATGAGAGGGAAGCTGGGGCTTGAGAAATGGCTCAGCAGTTAAGAGCAGTGGCTGCTTTTCTAGAGATTCTGAGTTCAATTCCCACCAACCACATGGTGGCTCACAACCATCTGTAATGGGATCTGTTGCCCTCTTCTGGTGTGCCTGAAGACAGGTCACTCATACATAAAATAAAAAAAATACATATTTAAAAAAAAAGAGAGGGGAAGCTGACAGGACATACCTGTGATGGCAGAGGTGTGAAGGGAGTTAATTAATTTGTAACTGTTAATCTGAGTGAGTGGGGACAAGTATACGTTTTTATTGTAACTTTAACTTACAACAACAACAACAACAAAATCATCAAATAGCAAGTAATTCTACCAAATACCTTAGGTGCCTCGAGGATTAAAGATGATTGTATGTCATGAACAGTTTCTGAAGGTTCACTGCTGTCTTCATTGTTCTTTGAATGTAAAATAAAACTTTCTTCCTTCTCATCTTCCTGAAAATAAAAACCAATTTATGATCAAGAAAATCCTTCAGTTTCAACTCCTCTTATTCCGATAGTTCTCACCAGTGCAATCATTCAATAAAATCCATACAAATGTGAACAAAGCAAACTTTCACCCACACAGAAATGAACCTTAGGCCAAAATGGATCAACTCTTAAGTATTCTTTAAGAAAAACCAGTCACCCAGGAAAAGGCCTTGCAGATATAGCTAGGATGTGATCTCTGCACCAAACACAGGCTTAGGAGCTTTAACACTAATGTGTTAGTTATTATCAGGCACTCTAAAAAGAGGTCACCTTACTGATGAGGAAAGGGCTCCATTAGCACTAGTCACTCAATGGTTACATGTCCAGAATCTGACTCCAGAGCCCAGGTTCTCAGTCACCACTACAGTTTGGTAAGGTGGATGGTGGGGTGAAAAGGCCTCATGGTGCACAAACTTGGAACCACAGAGTAAGCCATAGCTCTACAGCCAAGGGTTCCAGGGCCAGTGTGGTATGCCTAGTGCCAAAGACACAGTGTAGTTTTGAAAGCCAATTTATTGTTTTTGTTTTTTGTTTTTAATCCAGTATGTTTGAGCAAGTCTGCAGAAGAAAAGATAAATTGCTGTCATGGATAAGATGATAATGTACCATTGTATTCTATGATGACAGTTATTATATGACTTAATATGACAGAAGTAATACTGTTCTGCTACACATCTACAGTCTTTCTGCTTCAGCCTGACTTTGGCTTTTTTTTACTTACATTCTTCCTGCCTCCACACAGGCATCCATGTACTGTTTATTCCGAGTTCTCTACTGTCCCAGGCACTTTCCCTTAACCTTTGCCTCTCATCCTTAACTACCATGGCAGACTCAGACTCCGAAGAAGAACTGTGAACCAAGTTCCAGCTCACAGTGGGGCTCCAAACCCTCTCTGAGCAGTGCTCTAGGGTCATTCTCTGCAGCCCTCCTTCAGGGGGAAGTGCACTTGTGGGTAAGAGGGTCTGTGTTCCCACACGGCCTCAGACTTCCTAAGGCTGATGAAAGGGAAAGGCTGGGTTGCTTCTGTCTTACAGGGTTAAGGATTTTCCCATGCAGCCAGGATAATCTAGCAAATAATTATCAGTGAAAATATAGACAAAATACTTGCTACAACATAAAAGATGAAATTCATAAAAATCTTATTGTATTCTTCCTTAACTTATCTAAAACCACACTCATATTTCATGTTACCATCTGTTGCCTATGGCAGTACATTTCCTATATGAAAAAGTCAAGAAATTGGTTAGCCATATACTAGACATAATTTTCAGTGATAGGTGTTATATCCAGATAGTCTGGTATGTAATATAGGAACAAAAAAAAAAAAAAAAAAAAAAAAAAAATGCAATGATGGTAGGGTATGAGCCTAGCATAGGAAAGCCCTGAAATCAATCCCTAGCACCAAAATTGTGTTCAAGGGCCACATAGCAGTTTCCTAATGCAAAAACAGTACAACAAATTGCTCAAAAAACACACACACACACACACACACACACACACACACACACACCTACCTCTCACTAACTGTCAAGCTAGTGGGGTGTCTGAACTACTATCATGTAACATGCTAATATATCTCACACATTAAAAGAATTTTAGAATCAAGAATTTAGCTCTTTAGTCTTACTCATTTCATTAAACATTTTTATAAAAGATTCATAGAGTAAAGCTGGTCTACTTGATCACCGTCTGTGAAATGAAAAAGTCTGCATCAGAACTATGTAGGTCAGCCACTGGGAAAAAGACTGTGAAGGACTCAATTGACCTGCCTGAGAGCGGGGTCTCGGGGTCTCCATGTAAATGTCTCCCACTGGCCTCTTACGAAGCGGCTTATGAACCCTTAAGTCAGAAACTCACTGAGTTTTTCAGAGCAAAGCTAGAAATGGCATTCTTGAAACTCAGTCTGACAACCTACCACAACCAAATGACTGTTCAGATATATGCATACAAACTAAACAGGACATTATCATAATGCAAGATCACATAGTGCTGTGGCTAAGAAAGGATACAAGACTGAAACTATCCAGCCACGCCCTTATTTTGACCCCACTCCCTACTAATTATAAAACTTAGGAGGCATCTCTGTGCCTCCATTGGCTCATTTGTAATGACAATGAAAAGAGGAGGGTTCTTAAACTTGCTTTGAAGACAACATTAATCAATATATGTGATAGGCTTAAAATGTATAGTGATGTATAATAAATGTTCATTTAAAACTAAATAAAAATAATCAAGTACTTGTTTTGCACTGAGAACCTCAACAACATAATTTTAGGGAACCAACAATTAAGAGCAGTAGCATGACAGCACATCAAACCATAAGACAGCTGGACCACAGAAAGACCATCAGTACTAGAGGCCACCACACATGCTGATGACAAGAATGTATAAAAATGCCATCCCATATGGACAAAAATAATACAGTTTATGAATTTCATCTCACTGTACCTAACATCATTCTGAACACAGGAGTTCCTAACAGGTTGGTTGCGACCCCTTTTGAGTTAAATGACCGTTTCACAGGAGTCACATAGAGATACCCTGCATGTCAGATATTTACATTATGATTCATAACTGTAGCAATATTACAGTTGTTAAGTAGCAACAAAATAATGTAAGGGCGGGGTCACCACTTCATAAGGATTGTGTTAAACAACCACAGCACTGGGAAGATTGAGAACCACTGCTCTAAAATTAAAAATCAAAATTATGTATTTTAATATACATATAAGGAATATGAATAGAACTTAGGAGTCTGCTTTAGAAGCCTGAAGGTACTCTATAGTACAAATGGCAGAAGCAAGATTAGAAATGCCAGTAGTGAGCAATCACTAATGATGTCGCCTTTATTCCTGAAAATTGCTCTGATGATGTAAATCAAGGTCATTGAGAAATAATTTGCTTACTGCTCTTACAGAACAAGAGTATGGGTTCCAGAGCCCACTGAGTGAGGGTGGCTTATAATCACCTCTAACTACAGTCACAGGGATTCTGATGCCCTCTTCTGGCCTCTTGGGGCACTGCACTCATATGCAAAAACCTCAGACACCTATACTGAAATAAAGTAAATCTGAGTTAAGTTTCCCCTGGTCTGTGTTCTTTACAGTACTAGTTTTATTTGCCTTACTGACACAATTCAAGCCTTATAGGAGAGGCATATTTGTCTTCCAAATTCATGTTGCTAAGTACTGCACTGTTACCACTACCTATATAAACTGAGTTCAAAACTTACCACCAAAGGCTTACAGATGCCAAGATGTACAGCACCTGGGGGCACAGCCTTCAACACTTCCACAGCCTCAGCAAGTGTGGCATTGTCCAACGAGAATTCATTGACCGAGACTAGACGGTCTCCAGGTAAAAGTTCCCCACTTCTTTCTGCCACTCCATCTGCTACCAAGGAGCGAATCACAATAACTGACCTTGTGGGATCCAAGGGGTCCTACAAATTAAATGAAAGAAAGTCAGGTCCTTGAAAATAACCACGCAAGCTTAAGAAGGCTTATCTGACACTCTGTAGGGGCTTAAATCAATGAAAACATCATTCTATGTACCTTATAATACCAGCTTATATCGTGGTGAAGATGTAAGCTTAACAGCTTCACCTGCATGTCTGAGTGCTCAATTCAGGTACATTCGTCCTTTAAACATTTGGTGACTGACCACAAGAGATCTGAGAACAGTTAGGTAAGAGTCTCTCTGATACTTTCAGGCCATAATTATATTGTGGGACAACGATGGGGCCATCTATGACTCCCCCATGGTCCATACAGATAGGCTCTAAGAGGAAACTTACAGTGGGAAACTTACTTCACCATTCATCTGAGTAAATACAGCGTCCTTCTAGGAAACCACAAGCTCAGAAGAAGAAGAAAGATCATTTTAAAAGTGTATTTGGGAGCTGGTGACATGAGTCAGCAGTGAAGAGCACTTATTCCAAACTCACAGGAAAAAGGGCTTGAAGCCCAGTAATTACACAGCAAGTTGGATATTGCTGCAAATACCTATAACCCCAACTCTAAGTGGGGCAGGCACAGGAGGATTTCTGGGGTTTGCTGGTTTCCAGACTATTGGAAAAAATGGCAGCCCAAGATTCAAAGAAAGGCCCTGCCTCAAATAAAAAAGTCAGGAGTGATAGAGAACACCGCACCTTCTTCTGGCCTCTGAGTGTACATAGGTACATGTACTTTATCTACACATACACTCATATAGACACACACACAAACATGAGTAACTCTTTTGTGGTAAAAAGCTTCCCTGGCAAAGGAGTAGCTTCAACACACCAGCAACACACATACATGTATGTGCTTACAGTACATATTTTAAAATAATCAAAATTATGACAGAGTTTAAAGGCCTGATCAGAATGATTCCAATATAAAGGGAATTCATGAGCAACCAATGTGAAGATTTTTATTTAAGCCAGTGGGAGAACTCTGTATTCTTTTATTTGGGCACAGAAGACAACAGACCTATCAATGCATCTGTTTGTGGAATACCACTCTGTAAAACAACTAACCTGGAACTCAAAACTCCTGCCTCAGTTCACTGAGTGCTATGATTACAGGTGTGAGCCACCATACCAAACTTGCTGTTTGAGTTTGACAGATGACAGAAAGTGATGCTGAGAAAGTTAAGGAAACTGGAAACCACTAGCCGCTGTTCAGGGGTAGAGGCAGACTTCAGCTGGGCCTGACCACCAAGCTCTACTATTTCCTCTGCATCATGACAACTGTCAGGTAGAACTCTGAATAAAGGAATGTCACCTTGCTGCTAAGATCCCAGGCCCAGCAGAGCTGTTAGTCTTACTGGTATGGCTATAATGTGGCTCTGTTGCCAAGCCTTCTACATTAAGGAGCCATAGCACATTTGCTCCTGCTGTGCTGTCTTGCATGTACCACTCTGCACAGGCCACAGTAGCGAAACAGGGTTCTACTGCTGCTGCTTCTATTAGAATCTTCCTGAGAGGGAAAAAGGAACTGCCATGTTTTGTAGTACAACTGTAGCACTTTGAATTAACAAAACAAAAATTTGCCAAAATGCATTTGTGAGAAGTGCTGGGGGCTCTTCTGGTTGTGGTCTCCACACCTGTGGTTTGACAACATCCTTTTCAAAGCACTGCACAGGATTGTAGCGAAGTATACATACTGACATCCACAAAGGTTACATAGCTAAATCTTTGAATAATGCTTTCAAATACAATCCTTGCTTCTTCTTTTTCTAAGAAGGTCCTAAGAGACCAGAACTTTGGCATAATCTAATATTTAACACCACATATTCAGGAAGAGAATTCAAATATAGAAACAAACAAAATCCAAGGGGTTTTAGTAGTAAGGTATATATAGTGTTAAACTGTATTTTCACTGATAATTTCAAGTAGAGGGAGCTATGGTATAGGGAGAGAGCAGAGGTATTCAGAGAACCTAGTATGTATCCACAGGCAATCAGAGCAGCAATATGAAAAAGTTGTTCATTTTGTCACCAGCAACCATGAATCACAACGTGCTTTCATTTTGATGCATGAAACCATTACATTTTAAGTTTGACATACTAATAAATAAGGTGTACAATTATGTCCTTCATTTAGAAAGTTTTGACAAAAGGCCTTTTCATTGGGGGGGGGGAGAACTACATGAAATGCAAAGGAGGCAGGCATTGCTTCATATTAATGGTCACTAAACATTACTGGAAAGGCTCTAACAGTAAAATATATCAAAAATAAAATGTTTGTCTATGTTCATTGTGAATACTCGATACCATTTCACTGAGTCAAAAACTTGAAGAGGTGAATGAGTATGTTCTAATAATGGTAGCTGACAGAAACAACTTTTAGAAAGATCATTATATAATGAGGAAGATTCATTGAGAAACAATGAAAATATTTCTGCTATGGAAAGACAATGGATTTCATTTATTACAGAAAAGTCATGTTACTAGTTATTTACATGGAAGACAGTCTCCTTGAGAACACAAACTAGTGCCAAGTGCACTTGCTTACTAAATGCAATCAGGCTTGGTGTCCTAGTTATTCAGAGCATCTTAAACAATTTTCCTGGAAGCCAGAACCCAAAAATAGCTTCTTTGTGGCTTATAGAAAGAAAACTGAAGTGTGTGTGCATGCATGCTCATGTGCACGCATGTGTGTGGGGGGGCACCACAGCATCAGAGGACAACTTGCTAGAGTTGGTTCCCGCTTACTCAGGTCATCATGCTGACCAGCATGTGGCTTTGCCCACTAATCATCTCTCATGTTTCCCCTTTTGATAAAGAAGACTGAGATGCTGTCTTAGAGCGAACAGCCAAGAGAGGGCACTAAAGGCCAATTGTAGAGTGCAAGAAACACTTGCCTCTTTATTCAAAACTGCTGTGTCATTATACATTCTATAGCATGTGCCCCATATGTTTATTCGAATTCAACCATTTATGGAAAAGATGTTTCATGAGAAAGTTATGCTTTTTAAAAGCCAGGACTCCTGTAATCAACTAAGAACAGCAAATGTTAAGGGTACACTACACAGAGGCCAGCAGAGGAATGCACTCCACACTCATCACTCAGCTAAGGAGCACTGGTCAGCAAGCTCTGTCTCACAAACCAATCAAGCCACCTGCCTGAAGAAAGGTCATCAAGAAAATTTTACAGCTCTTAAGGTGATGCTTGGGTTTGAAATTTATTAGAAATGTTGGATTTCACAAAGTTTGGGAAATCCACACCTCAAGCATGTGCGTGCCCTCCGGCCCTTGCCCTGATGCATATTTCACAGGTCAATCTATTATCTATTGTTTTCCATCTCTTCTATCAGCTCGCCACTCTCTTCTGCACCCCATTGCCTTGTTTAGCCTCACACTATTGCCTACATGGATAGATGCTACAATCTGACAGCATGCCTGCAGTCTCTAATTTAGTCCTCATAGTTACACTTTCTACAGAAAGGATGGAACTGACTGCAAGAGGCAGAGGTCAGGAAGGACCAGGCTGAACCAATGCCTCCACACTCATGAACTCACAGCAGCCGTGGGGCCTGAACAAGATGAGGCCAGTGGCCATTCTAGCATAGAGAAAGGAGGGGCTCACAAGCTCCCCACCCCACACGCATGAGGAGCAAATGACAGTGATGGCTTCTGGGGAGAAAATCAGTTCTCTTTAAGGGTAACGTCTACAGTGGATAGCCCCACACTCATTAGTATGGGCAGCACAAACTGAATTTGACAGGTCCTTAAAAAGAGAAAGGAAACTGAGGCAGTGGGGAGGTAGGAAGGTTCTGGGAGGAATTAGGGGTAATGTGGGGTGAACAGAATCAAAATATACTACATGAACTTCTCAAAGAATTAATAAAACTATGCTTAAAAATAAAACAAAACCTAAAAAGTAAAATAACAATGTAATCTGAATCCTTCCTCTGCTTAAGGTGACACCACCTTAGGATTAAGTCCTAACTCCTTTAACTTTTATGCAGAGAAATGCCTGTGGGTCTACCACACCTTGTCACAACAACACAATTACTGAAAACTGTGACACTGTGTAAGCTGTTTTCTCATGCAGGGATGCTATCCCTGATCACTAACACTCATCTATATCTTTGCCAGGGTTTCATTTAGTGACACACCCTTCCAGTTCCTCTGAGACTGATTTTTTTTTTTTTTTTTTTTTTTACTTAGTGAGGTCAATTTTAGCACTTCTCATAATACATTTCCCATGCTATTATTCATTTCCAAACTATATAAGTATATATTAAATATATTTTCATACTATAGAGCTAATTAGGTGCATCAGTTAAATATACCCAGAGTATTCTGTGTTGTCTTATTATTAGAATCATTACAACTGCCTTATTAAGAACAAACAAAAAGGAAAAAGTAAGCCAAGAACTGTCATTCATCACCCCGTTTTGTGACTGAGGATGCGCTTTAACTAGCTGGTTTCTCACTCCTATCACCATGCCTTCCCTGCCCTTGAACTGTAAGCCAGAATAAAACTCTCCCTTTCTTTCTTAAGTTGCATTTTGTCACAGCAATGAGAAAAGCAACTAATACAATAATTTTTTTTAAAGTTAATCAAAGCTGCTAAGAGAGAAGGAAAATACAGTCATAAACTGTCAGAACAGAGAGTACAGCACAGTGTCATAATGTCCAAATGAATAACAAAGTATGGGGCCAGGGGGATGGCTAGGCTGGTAAAAGCACTTACAGACATCCCTGGAAACCCGAATTTGATAGCCCAGAACCAATATGGTGTAGAAGAAGAACCAAAAGAAGAACTGACTTCTGTAAGCTGTCCTATGATCTCCACATACAGACTACAACTAGCACATGCACAAAGACACATGCAGACAACTCAATAAGGAGACAATCTCAGCATTTAGGAGCACATACTGCTCTTACAGAGGAGCCACGATCAGTTCACAACTACATGTAACTTCAGCTCAAGGAACTGGACACTCTCCT